ATGAGTGAAGTTAAGGGTTAAATGTTCAAAAGAGTTGCAATTATTAACTACCTTTGGATTAATCAGTAAGTCAGACTGAAAGATTGTTGCTACCCCTCCTCCTCGCCCAGAATTTCTGGGTATGTTCACATAATACTCTTGCTGCAGCCAAGTTTCTGTAAGGCAACATAAATCAATGTGATTATCACAAATCAAGTCATTAACTAGCAGATTTTTTGAGGTAGGAGATTTTATGTTAAATAGACCACATTTAATAGTTTTAACTTTTTCCCCAATTGGAGTTATTTTAATTTTAATTAGATTATCATGATTTACTCCTTTGAGAATCTTTGCTAATTTATTAGATTTTGGTCATGATCAAGACACTGTTTAGATGGAGTAATGAGTGGGTAACAGTAGAGAAGCTGGTCCTAGTCTGTCCTGGTCCGCATCCTGGGTTGTCAGGGTTTTGGTGGACCAATAAATTTGTCTGGATTCCTTGAAGTTATCAAGTCAGAATTCTGTCAAAAGCACAGACATTAAATTTGGAACTTCATATGATCTAAGATAATGTGGCTTCACTTTTTATATTGAGGAACGTTAGGCTTGAATAAACATTCCCCTATATCTGAACACATATATTTACATTTCTAATTGGTTTGCAACTACTGTTATAGAATAGAATAGACAGATTTATTTTGTCACTTTGTATATACGAATGTGAACAAAAAAGACATTTTGTTTAAAACAGCTCTCAACAATTTCATTTTTTAAAGTGCAGCCTTAAAAACAGTAATGAATACATAAAAATAGTAATATAAACTTTGACTGTATATTTACAGTTCTAAAAATTGTTCTTATATAAAATAAAGGATTTTACACAACATTCAGCAGCCTAATGGCAGTGGGGAAGAAATTGTTTTGGAATTTGCTGGACCTGCATCCAATGCTTCAGAGTCTCTTCCCAGAGGGAAGCAGGGAGAACGGTCCATGATGGGGGTGTGAGGGGTCATTTCTGATATTACGGGCTCGGGACACGCAGCGCTGGGATGAAATGTCTTTAATGGAGGGAAGAGGAGCCCCGATGATCTTCTCTGCTGTTCTCACCACTCTTCTCACCTTCTTCCAGTCTGAGGTGCTGCAGCCTCCACACCACACAGTGAGACAGCTGGTCAGAATGCTCTCTATGGTGCTTCTGAAGAAGGTGGGGAGGATGGGTGGGGGCAGGTGGTCTCTCCTCATCCTCCGCAGAAAGTACATGCGCTTTTGTGCCCGTTTGATCAGTGAGGGTGTGTTTCAGTCCAGGTGAGGGTGTCTGTGATGGGCCTCAAACCTTCCAGAGAAGTTGTTCAGTTAATATAGGAAAACAGTGTTTGCTGCATATACAGGGTGGGGGGTGGGGGGGGGGGGGGGGGGGGGGGGGTGTTGTAGTGTGTGATCATCCCAATGCCTTTCCACATCCTCCTGGTGTTGCTGTCATCATGGAAAAGATCCTGGATCTTCTGGCTGTGGTTCTGTCACAGCATTCAAAACAGTCTTGAAGTGTCTCCATGGCGCCCTCATACCACCATTTTAGTGCTGGATCAGGGGCCCGCCTCATACTGGTATCATTGTAACATTAATTATTATTCAATCATAATATTTTAGAATAAATTCACACAACTTCAACTAAATTAGTATCGCTTTTTGATTTAGCATAAATTAAGTCATTTTTTTTGTTTGTTTGTTTGTTTCTCAGTAACTTTCATACAGACTAGAAAAGCGGGAAACACGTTCAGTCAAATTTTTTATTTAAATTATTTTCATTTTCAAATATTTTTTTTAGGTGGGAAGGAAACTGGAGTACCCAGGGAAAAACCACACATAGGCAGGGATAGGGCAAACCTTAATATGAGTTTAAAGGTTTATTGACTGGATGGTCAAAAAACTAAGACTAAACTCCTACATAACTGTTGCCTGATATCTTAACAATATGTTGGTTGAAAATTCATCAAAGTTGGATATAATTCCTTTGGGATTTAATGATCTGAGCCACATCATTTCTGCCGTCAAAAATGTGTAATTTCTCATCGCCTCATAGGCCTCAAGAACATAAGAACTTTTGCTGTTAAAGTCAGACAAGTGGTTCATTGTAATAAAGCTGTTTTTAAGTGCGGCTGCTGATGTAATACGCTCCTGTGGTGTAGGAACTAGCATTTGTTTTAAAAGATCGATGAAACTTAGAAAATCCTCCCTTTCAATGGGGGTCTTGTGTTGGTGGTGGGATTTTCATCAGGTCATCCAAAGACTTCAGCTTCAACACTGGATCATAATCCCTGAAATCAATTTCACAAGTAGAGGAACAATTATAACTACAATGTGGTTCAACCAACATTTTAACAATTGCTGCCAATGTTTCTGTTTCTAGTTGTCCAATCCAAGCGCTTTAATTTTCTCTAAGACCTTTTTTTCCTGATTTGTATTGATTTCCCAGACATCTGTTGCTGTTTTTATTGCAACAATCTCTCCAGTTTCTTTGTTTCTACCTCAGAACATTTCTGCTGTTCCTCCTTCACCCAGATATGCTATAAAGCAGTATTTGTTTGTTTCAGATTCCAAAACAAAATCATTCTCCAAGAATAAGTTTTGACACAATCTTCCACAATCAGTTGGCTGTTGACCACCAGGAGTCAAGAGGGTCATTGAATAATCTTCTAGATCAGAGGTTTTAGAGCAGAGTTGGGGTGTCACAGTAGGGGGTTCTGGGTATAAGTCGGACCAAAGGTATGGGTATCTTTGAGGAGAGGGGGTCCTGCTGGACCAACTTGATGAGGTCCTGTCATATGAGTGCACTAGCAAGCTTTCTGGGTTTTTTCCGATCTTAGCATGAAAGAAATTATCTTTCATGGGTGGGTGATAGTTGACTGAAGTGACACTGGAAATGTCAGAAGAGGAGCTTTGAGCTTCAGAGTTGTTGGTCGAAAATTAATCAAAACTGGATATAATTCCTTGGGGGTATAATGATGTGAGTGCCAACTTGTCTTCCGTCAGAAACGTGTGATTTCTCATCGCCTCAAAGACATAAGAACTGTTGCTATTAAAGTCAGACTCCAAAAAGAAATTATTCTCCAAGTCCACATTGTCTCCAAAATAATTTGAAAGCATTTTGAAGACTTAAAATGAATCTCCAAGTTTTTTTTTTTCCTGTGTCGGGCACTAGCTCTTGATCAAGCCGCTGTGAAATCACATATGGGCTTATGACTGGGCTGTCTTCTATTTATAATATATGTAATGACATCACAATGGCATAGGGGTTATGTTATGATCTCAGAATGTTGGAACCAAAATAAAAAAAATAATCCAGATGGGGCCGGGGTTACTGGAGGATCAGGGGTTCTAGGAGTAACCACATGAGTCTTAGGTAACAGGTAGAACTGGGGAGGCAGAGAGTCTGGTGCGTCCCAGCCTAGTTTACCCCTTAAAAGAGAAGACCTGAGAAAATGTCCATCACTGCCACAGTATAGACAGAGATGAAAGCTGATGCGACGAGCCCTCTCCTCCTTGGAGAGGCATGTGCATCCCAGCTGCATCGGTTCCAGACCCAGTAGCTGACGTAGGTGCAAAGGGGGCGTTGTGAAGAGCAGGTTGAGGGAAGGCCGTCGTCAGTGCTCTTCTTTCCCTGCGACGCTCAGTGAGGCAAAGGTCAATTCGGTTGGGAAGGTCTTCCAGCTGCTTCAGAGTCCGGGTTTAGTCGCGGGTTGAAAGCTCATCTTTGATGCTTTTACGAAGGCCAAAGAAAAAAAAATCCAGGAGGGCGTTCTCATTCCAGGAACAGTCTGCAGACAACAGGTGGAAGTCGGTAATATATTCCATCACTGAACGATCTCCTAGCCTGAGTGTAAAAGTCCCGTGGACTGAATCCAGTAGAACTTTTTATTGCCTGCCTGGAATGGGTGACAATAGTTGAATAAACTTTTCACTCTCAAAATGGTATCGGTGCACCATTTGTTGGTACTTGGCGATACCGATACCACCATTTTAGTGCTGGATCGGGGACCCGCCCGATACTAAAAATCATGTCTAAACTATGTATGGTGTTTTTTTTTTTGTGGGGGGGGGGGGGGGGGGGGGGGGGGGGGGGGTTATATGATGTTAAATTCCTTTCTAGATTTACCAGGAAGCCAATGAAGAAAAGTTAAGAGAAATATGACCCCTTTTTAATTTTCAGCAGAACACCAGCTGCAGCATTTTGGATCAGCTGAAGGCTCTTAACTACAGTTAATGGTTCATTCCTGATAGTAATGAATTACAAAAATCCAGCCTGAAAGTAACAAATGCATGGACATGGAGTTTTTCAGCATCATCCTTAGACAGGATATTTGTTATGCTTGCAATAGTCAAGATTCATACTTAAGTCCACATGAAAATCTGCTCTAAGACTGGAAAACTGGGGCTATTTATCCAGATTGGACAGACATTGAGCAATTCTGCAAGAACGAATTCATAAATACAACTTGCTGTTGTATATCTCAGCTCAATGTTTTATTAAGACAAAGTATAGACTATTGGAGGGGGGGATTCTATCACCCAAAATACCTTAAAAAGTCATTGAAATTTTTGTTAGAACATGACAAAATGTTAGAACAACAAAACAAAACAAAAAATAAAGAACTTTTAATGGACAACTGTCAATCACTTTTCAAGCAATGTGAAATAAATGTCTTGCTGTGGCAGTGGTCATATAATGGGTATATCATTCAGGTGTACACCTTGATCTGAAGAGTAATTTATTTACATAAATATTTAGGATGACTATTGTGGTTGAATGAGAGTGAAACTAATCTTTTCTAAAGTGTTTTTGACATATTCAACATTTTACTCTCTAGTGATCATTCATCTGTTGACTCACAGCTTGTGTCATTTATGCCTGTGCTGATGCATCCTCTGTCCTGCGGGAGAAGAGAGATGAAACAACGCAATTTATGCGCTGTGATGATGAGCAGGGTGGAGCGACGGGGTGCGTTTTATAAGAACAAGCTGAGACCCTCACTCTCATAAACTCCAGAGAAAGACATAGAGCAAACAGCCTAATGATAGTAATAATATAAACTTTCAGCAAATAATCACAGGAAGCTGATTTGCGCAGCTGCGATCAGTTTGTCGGTTTTGCGCGCTTCTGTCCAAACTCGCTGCTGCTTTTAGCGCCGATCATGGAGAGCCTGAAGTTTGCGGCGGTGCTGCTGCTGGTCGTGTTGGTTCAGACCATCAGCGCGCTGAGGGCTCCGCTTTCTACGGAGGATGAGGAGGGACATGTGTGGACGGTGGACAACTGGCAGGTAAGAGATCAACTAAAACAGGACGGGTTTGGGGACTTTGGTTTGAGCAAACAGCCGCTGCGGGACCGGCTGATCGGTTCGGTGTAAAAAGCGTGGAAATAATAATTAGAATGATTATAATAATCCTAAAATGCATTCCGTCATTGTTATGCTATACATCTAAATTTCGCTACAATTTAAAAATTGCTGCCAAATACGGAAATAACTTTCAGCACCTTGGAGAGCTTCAGATATAAACCTATAAGCATACAAAATGGGAGCCTATATGCCAAAAAATAATGATTGCTTTATAAGTAAGTCAATTTTTTGACTTTTTTATAAGAAGTTGCCTTATAAGTAAAAAAAAAAAAAATGAAAATAAAGAATGCTGATTTATTTTTAAGTCATTACACAAAATTGTTTATAATTACTACCTGTGCAGAGTTTCTTACATGGATTCAACATGAAAATGAATTTACGGTTTCTTTTCTTCTACATCTTTCACATCCTCACATCCAGACTTCCTCCATCAGCCAAGTCATTTAAAACGTTCTTCCCAGATTAATTCAACTGCACAGTGTCTAATCAGTTGTAAACTAAAAGATGCATTTCCATCCGTCCACATGTTTATTTGTTTTGTTTTAAACACACTTCATAATTAATGAGCTGTAAAAAGAAGTTGCTGCATATAAAGGATAGAATGAGTCTGGTTCCCCACACAAATAAAATAAACTGTTGGATTCTTTTATTTATGAGTTTCCAGAAATGAAAAACCCGAGGCACACAGAGAAAAGAATAATGAATTAAAAAAAATTAATAAATAGTAACAGATAAAAAATTGAAAGACAAGACCGAACAGTCAAACCAGCTTGTCAGCCTACTGGTGTTTTGTTAAAGAAAAGTACATGTGCACATCATTCTAAAGTGAGTTATCAAGCATGAGACAGAGTCAAACAACCGACAGTTCAGAAAACAATGTATTCAAATAGTGCTGAATAATGAAGCCATTTCTTAAAACAAGGAGGGATACAGAATTTCCATTCTCTCAGATTAACACATAAACTAAAGATAACCACCCACTGAAAAGACAGAGGAAAAGTGAAATAAAATTTAGAGCAACCCGAAATAAGTGAAATGGTTATCAGGAGTCAGATTTCTGCCATAAACATTACATTAAAATTGAAATATAAACTTTTACATTATCAACCAACAATTTGGATTAGGAAAGAAAAAAAAAAAAAGCATTAAAAAAAAACATTGAACATTAAGGCAAACAAACTTTAAACCATATTTGCTCTTCTAAAAGACCGAAAAACTATTAAGATAATTTTACTCATCAGGTTTTGTTATTTTATGTGCAGAAAAACCAAAATATGAAGCTGTTAGTGACACAAATGTAAATAAAAAGTACATTTTAAAGTCTGTTTTTTTTACCCAGGTAGAATCTCAACATTTTCTTAACTCTTAAGATATGCACACTTTACAAACTGATCTAAAAAATAGCAAACTAATCATAAAACAATTGCATTTGCCCTTTATTTGGGCAGAAAATTAGATATTCTGTCAAAGAAATCCATCTTTTTGCCTTAGAAAAAAAATAATCAGATATAATGCACCTGAAGTGGATAATGGAGTTCTTTTTTCTTATCATAAACATAAATCATCTCATTCGGATGGTAAATTGTCTTATACGCTCATATCAAGGGAAAATACACCTACTCCAAGAAAAATGTCATTTTGTGCAGTGCGGTTCCTTGGAAGCTGACGCCTCAGGGTTCAGAAGCTGAGCTTGATAGAAAAATTTAACTTTGGTGTTAGGAGGTTATGCTAAAGTTATTTAATATCAGGCTGGAAAATGCATAAATCATTTTGATAGTTAGAATTAAACTCTCTTAGAAATTCTTTTTTGTTAAAGTATAGGAGGAAGAGGTTATAGAATCAACAAATACCTTAGCTAGAGGTGGATAAGAAAAAAATTCCTTTATTTAGAGGATTTACAACTGTCTTGTTTCTAGGGTTACCCAGTGGAGAGAGGATTATCCATCCGGCTCGCAGATCTGATCAAGCGGTCGAAAGCACAGCAGTTCCACGGTCTGATGGGAAGAAGCCCGGGTAGAACCATCACACTTAAACACAAATTAAATACATAAAACAAACCTTTTTCATGTTTCCCTTTCTTCTTTCCTTTTTTATAGGTGTGTTAGCAAAACTGGGCAGGAAACGTGAGTATAATCCCATACAAACCACAACAAGACTACCTTTTATTTTCCTTATAACATTTTTAACCACTCATCCTTTCTGCCTTCATATCTTTCTTTCATCAGGAAATAATAATAATAAAGGTGAGATGTTTGTCGGACTCATGGGCAGAAGTTTAGGAGAAGGTAATTTATTTTGTCCTAACTGAAAAACCTTTCACTGTGTTATTCAAAGTAAAGAAAATGCCACATGGTGGGTCATAATTATATGATTTGAAGGCATTATTATGAGATTCAATATCATAATTTAAACTTTGAAAGTTTCCAGTTTATATTTATGAGACTCAAATGATTATAAGATTTAAAGTATCTAATAATTATGACTTTATAGCTTATAATTATATTTATATATGTATTTATTTTATTGTTTTTAATACTTTTTCAAGGCTGCACTTTTAAAAAACATGAAATTTTCCAGAGAAATGTTGCAAATAAAATTTGTCTAAGTCTAATTACTTCATATCATGTAATGATGACACACCATGTTCCCTTTTTTTTTTACTTTCAATGGGATTCAATCGTTAACATTGTTTCAGGGTTGAGGATAATATTATGACTCAGCTGTTTTGTTTTTGTTTTTCCAGACCTTGATGAAGACTGGACTCCTGACTCTTTCTGAAGAGAACAACTTTAAACAAGATTCAAAACATGATCCAAGCTTTACTTTAACGTTTTCTATTCAGTACCTCAGCAGATCAGAAACATATGGTGACTGACATCAACAAAGAAACACTTGCAATCAAACAATACAGGATTTTCCTCAAATTATTGCCATGGAACCCAATATATGCTATATGTTGTAATAAATTCATTTAAATTAAGTTATTTAATCGTTATTTTAGGTCTCTAACATATCTGCCATTTGAGATTTCCCACAGTACAATGCTGAATTATAAAGGTGCAACATCAGGGCAATTTTCCTTTATTTCTTTATCATATGTAATTGTATTACTGTTTGAAATAAAAAAAAAACAATTTCAAGTTGTTTCATAACAAATCAATGCACCAGTTCATTGTATTATTGCAGATTAAATAATAAAAGTTGGTTTTGCCACATTGTTTATTTGTTTTATTTTTTACCTTTCCAGATGATAAAAATGGACAAACTTAAACTGCAGAAATACTGAATTTTGGTAGTTAAAAAAAACTGATTGATGATAATTACAACCAAGAGTGTTTTATAGCAGTTTTCTGGGGCAGACCAACAGAAAGTAAAGCAGGTCTCTGAAGGGGAAAGGAAATTATTCCTCCATCCATTGTCTATACCTGCTTCTTTTTGCAGGGGAGCCGGAGGTTGCCTCCACTGGTCAGTGGGAAGGGAGTGGGGAGCACCATCAGGTCACTTGTCCATCTGGGGAGATTGATCCTCTTTTAATGTCTTACTTCATTATTTTTGTAATTAAGACATTAATTTAATTTATTGTGTTCAACCAAAACAAGTAAAAACAGACATTTTAAACTCCTGAATACAAGGGAGCAGAAAGATAAATAATCTAATATTAACTGCCCCCTTGATTTAAAGCAATAAAAGAACAAAGAACTTATGATTACAAATAGCATCAACAACACAAAAAGCATTAAAATACACAACAACTAAAAGATAAAGGCAAGACTACACTCTAGTCTCGAGACTACACTGTAATAATTAAAATGAAATAAAACTCAGATCTGCTATCACAGGTCAAAAATTACAAACATTACTTAATAATCTCAGAAAATAAAAAATAAAAGAAATAAAAAACACAATGATACAAAATTATTGTGTGACAACACAGGCTTGCTTTTTAAATCCAATTTAATGCAGTTCAGTTTATTTCTATAGCACCAATTCACAACACACGACATCTCAAAGCACAGTCAAAGTTATTCAATGTTTTCTATCTAAGGAAAACCAGTTGATTGCATCGACTCATTGACTCAAATGCAATCCGTCACACTAAGCATGCTTGTAGCGACAGTGGAGAGGAAAAACTCCCTTTTAACAGGAAGAAACCTCCAGCAGAACCAGGTTCAGTGTGAGTGGCCATCTGCTGAGGCCGACTGGGGTTCAAGGAGACAGAAGCAGAGATACTTCTAGATCAAATTACCATTTGATAAATAAAATTAGTCTTATCCATTAATTTCTTTGAATAGTACTAAAAAGGAACAGTTGAATGTTTATTACTCACAGAAATATCTTAAGATTTTATTTTTTCTAAATTCTTACTTTTCAGTAGAGCTGATCTACTTCAACAGTTCTTGGTTGTTAAACAAAACAGTGTCTTTAAAATTATAAGGCATCACAAGAATCTGCCGACTTGTATCTGTACTTGTCCTGTTAGATCTCAGTGCTGCATTTAATGCAGATGATCATAATATTCTGTAAGAGAGACTTGAATATTTTATGGGAATTAATGGAACAGCATTAGACTGGTGTTATTGGATGTGGTTCCTCTCCTCGGTCTACAGGATCTGCAACAGGATCTTAATTGTTTACGAAAATTGCAAAGACAAACTGTTTGTCTTCAGGAAATCTGGGTAACATTTGATCCTTTTGGCCTTCGTCTTTAAATTCATAGGGGAATCATATTTAAATGTCAAATCATTCTGGCTTAAACATATATATAAATGTACTCTTTATCAGACCATATTGTCCCAAAATTTAGAAAATTTCAATAAAAAAAAAAATCCTGTCTTAAAATCTGTGTGGTTTTTTTCGTTATATAATGCAGGCCAGTTAGTTATAAGTCAGCCTGAACACCTAAATTCGGCCAATCATATCTCAACTGTCATCTGTCAATAACATTTTTTTGGTCACAGCATCTTGATTCATATGTCGCAGCTAATATACGCAACGGTTGAAGTAAGAATAATTTCCTTTCCCATTGAGTTCCATCCCAGTGTTCACGGGGATGGACGTCTGTGTCTTCAGCAGGCGTAGAACCAGGGGCGGAGCTAGATGGGGGGCCAGGGGTGGCCAATTTTTTTCCCTCTAATACATTCGGTGGCATCAGACATTTAAATTTTTCATATATTAACAATTACTTGACAACAATAAGACTGGGGTTAATTATGCACATTAAAATCTTAACATTAAAGATGATAATTCAGGCTCTTTTCAGAACTAGATTTTGTGTTTTATGGGGTAAAGAGAAAATGGTGTGTCTCTGAAAGTCGTCTAGGAGTCTTCAGTGAAATCATAGATAATAATCATTTTAACAAAAAAATTATAAGGAATTTATGTAGATATTGGTACTTTTAAATATCCATTTTGCAGAATAATTGTTGATAAAAGTAGGTAAGTAATGACAAAGGAAGAGATGTTTTCCCCATCTTTATTCACTATACCTTTTATCTAGAAAGCATGGATGTTTAAATATATATGCGTCTATTTGTTAGCAAAGCTTGTAGGAAAGTATAGTTTGTCTTTACTTAGAAATTATTGATGTTGTGCTCATTACTTTTCCTGTTGGAACAGTGTTAATTCACCTTGATGTTCTGGCGCCTATCCATTTTCGGCCCCCCCTCAGTGTACATTGGTTATTGCCTGGCCACCCTTATAAAACTTTTCTAGCTACGCCTCTGCATAGAGCTAACAGAACTGGCAGCATTGCGAGGCAAGGGCTCAACATGTACGGCTGTAAGCCTTCTACACCAAACCAAGCTTCTGCCGCCCTGGCGTCCTCTTCCACAATATCTTACTTCCCCGCTTTCCTCTAAATAAAAAATGCATGATGGAGGAGACTCATCCACGACCTCCGACACTAAACTCTCCTCCTCTTGCATGTTTCCTCTGTCCATAGCGTTCCTTGACAGTGTTGTTTCTAAATCACCAATTTAGTGCTACTTGGTCTCAGTGGATTTAAGCCTGGACTCTGACTGGGCCACCATGTACGTAATGATGCTACGATTTAAACCATTCCAAGTCCTTTGCAGCCTTCCGACAGGTTTCTTCTCATCAACTTTAACCAGTTTCCATATTCCTGCAAAAAAATAAATTTGCATCCCCACAGCATGCTGCTGCCACTCTTATGCTCCACCGTATTGAGAGACTGGTTAAGATGATTTGCTGCTCTAATACATTTCCAATAGAATGCTAAGTTATGTGACAAAATGCAAGAGTTCATGCTTTTTTCAACAATCAACCACAGTTTTTTTTTTTTTTTTTTTTCCAATTTCAAGGCTACTATGAAATGACAAAAAATGCACGAATTCATTAAAATGTAAATGTGGGGGGAAAAATGTTTTAAAGAAACATAGGCTACATTTCCCAGTTTTTGTGCAAACATAAGTAGTCTAATAGAGTGACCTTCAGTTTCATTGTGTTGAAAAGTAAGAAATCTGAGAAATAAACACATTAGGCCTTCTGATTTACTGATCGCATTTATTTGGTGGGGGAGGAAGGGGGCAAAGCAAGTGCAAAAGCAAGACTGAGCTACATTATGATGCCACTTTTTGCTACTTTTCTGTTTTGTGAAGGATTTATTAGCAGAACTACCACAGCTTGGTGCCGACCGATGGAAGGTTTACTTAGTGACTTATAGGAGTTTATATATAGATATATATAGGTAGGCAAAAACCGGTAACATGTTTGGAAGCTGTCCATCTATAGCTGCCATTGGCACAAATATCCAACATATTTCTAACCCCAAACAAGACATGTGAAGTAAAAACATAAAAATGAATATTCTAACATCAAGGCAAACAAAAAGATTCACTGTGCTTGGACCTTTATTTATTTATTTGTTTTTACCATAGTTGCAACAGGCTGAGACGCTAAACACTGAGCTATTTTTGACAATGTGGTTTGGAGCCCATCTAGTCAACAACAAACTTATTTCTAATCTATTTTCTGAAAAGAGAAGAATAATTTGTTCTGGCTGAAATAAGATATACTAAGATGTCTAGATAGTAATTTTCCCCAAGTTTTGGAGATAGAGAAAATTTTCAGTCCATGTTTTGGTGTAAAAGAGAAGCATTAAAGCGAAGTTAGCCACGAGAAAACCGAGACACACTGGAAAAAAATGGAAATTTAGATATGTAATTTTTTTCTTAAAATAATTGCATTTAGATTGAGGAGGAAAGAGACATTTTGCCAATAGAATAAGATAATTTACACTTAAAAATAAGTAAACACAATTGCATTGTCTTATTTTAAGTGCATATTATCAAATTATCTTATTTTAAGAGTAAAAATACTAATTTCTTTGACAAAACTACCTCATTTACCAACTCAAATTAATGGTAAATACACCTAATTTAAGAAATGACAGTGAGACAATCAAACTAATTAAGTGCACTTTGCCTTTAACTGTCTCTAAAGGTTGGCATGCAAAAAAAACAACAAAAAAACATTTGCCTGTTATCTTTTTTTTAAGCAAATAAAGAAAACTCATCTTCAACTTGACATATTTTAGAGAACAAACACACCACACTTGAAAAATGTATAACAAAACTACAGTCTGGCAGCGAAAACATTTCTGCAGTGACATTAAAAGTCCAGAAAAATAAAAAAATAAAATGGCTTCATGAAAACATGGAGAAAAAAAAAAAAGTTTTGGGACAAGACACTTGTCTTTGTGTAGGAAGTTATTGGTTTTCTTAGCAAACTGAGAGCTAAAGTAGTAGTCACCTATTATTAGCCAAAGTACAAAGCTAAATACAGAGCTTAGCTAAACACAAAGCTAAATTATGCTAAGATAGCTGTCAGCTAAGCTAGCAGTTGGTTAGCTGTGATGAACAACCAGTGGTTTTCCCAGTAAGAAGCTAAGGAAGGAAAGCTTAGCCTGCTAGCAAGGGGGTAGCTAGCATGAGAGCTAAGCTAAACAATCACTCAATTTGATCAAATTGCACCAAAATATTTTTTTTTTTGAACAGTCAGTGGGCCAATTATGTCATTTAAAATAAAAATCCATCTAATTTCATTAAACTAGCTTTATAAGGTGGAAAAATAACATGTTTTGAGCCTCTGAAATGCAAAAGATTTCCGTCACTACTCGGTGGCTTGGATGACCGACAATTCTCCTTATTTGAAACACATTCAGATCTATGTAGAGGTCTTACATAAATATATTTACAAGGAAGCCAGTCCAGCAAAATAAACATCCCTTTATGCTATACACTGTTAACATACTTTTTTTCAATGAATATAAATACCACACAAGAAAAAAAAATTTGAATAAAAATGAGATTAAACCAATATAAGGAGGAAAACATCAGCTGGGTAAACAACTACAAATTTCCAAGTCAACACTGAGTAAAAAGAAAACAATACAATAACTGTTAAACTGTTAGACAGTAGTAAAACCTCAGAGGTAGAAAAAGTATAAATCTGAACTGAGAACTTTAAAAGTAAAGAATGCAGAACATGTGTGTAGTTGTCTACACTTCAATCATCAAAAGTGATGCAAAACAAACAAAAACAGGCAAAAGGTGATCAGATCACATCCAGGTAAATTCCTTAACTTACAGCAGAGAAATTTAAACACTGCCTGTGAAGCGAGAGCTTCCTGGCAAACTGACTGCAGAGACATCAAATTAAACAGAAAACACCAAACAGCTTTGGAAGTGGGGAGAAAAGCCAAAGGGTTCAAACAGCCATGTTAAAGTTATTTCTTCCATCTCAGCAGGATGTTAAGTTATAACAATCAACTACTAAAATTAAGTGAAAGGTAGGGAATGTTTACTCCCATTTTTTCTTCAATATATAAAGGGATTTATTTATTTCAAATCTTGAACTTTCTTTCAATATTTATAAGATAAGTAATAAATTATTTAGTTCCAGACAAGTCCACATTTTCAATGTGGGACTTATTTAACAAAATGAACATTTTAAGGGTGTGTCCTTCTAATTCACATCCAGGCCAGCTGGTTTGCATCAGACAGGACATGTGTTCATAGGTCAACGTCTTGCTGACTGGTGTTACATCTGGTCAACAGAGCATGAGGGAAATGCAGCTCAATGCTGCCCGTCACTGATTGGATTAGCAGGTGTGCCTGCCATTACTAATGAAGTGAGTGGCGGAAAAGTGGACGAGCGGCGCTCCATTATTTTCACTTTTCAGAAAACGAATGGGGTCAACGAGAGCTAAGACCGGGCTAACGCTTCACTGCAGGTCCTTCAACTGGTGATTCACCCAGCCAACATGCAAACACTGTAAAAATTATCAATACTCTAATATATTTTCAAATTTCATTAAACGTACAATAAATGATGAGATGCTGTGGGTATTATTTCCTTCAACGGACTGGAAAGCTGGTGAGAGTGAAGGAAAAGAAGGGCAGAGATAAAGACAAGGCAGGCATTGAGGAGAACCTGTTAGAAGCTGCAAAAGCCTTTAGGCGAAGGAGATCTGACTGACGTCTCTTCTGATAGTGTCAAATAGGTCAAAGTTAGCGGGCACGAATGCTTTTCTAAGCTCTGAAACGACAGTGAACTCAAATAACAAAGGGAAAATCCCAAACTCTGAACTCTTCTCCCAACGTTTAACGTGTGGTTTATATAGAACAAGCAAAAGAGTGAAACTTTACAAACCCTGTTTTAAAAGCTTGGAAGCTAAAGATTGTTTTTGCGTATATTAATTATTGAATAAGCCCTAAATTTAACAGCCTAGTCCAATCAGATTCTTTTTTATGCCAGTTAGCTTATATTGGTATCATATAATAGAGGGCAATCCTATAATAATATTAAATTTAGATGGTGGCATATTTATTTTGACGTAAATCAACCTGGAAACCGTTTGAACCCAGAAAAATAGTTAGACTGGATTAGGATTTGATTCAGGTGCAGCTGTGAGGATTTAGACTGAGGGTCAGTTAGCATGCCAGTGTACGAAGGAGGATCCATTTCTATGCGGAGAGAGAAGGAAGCTCCTTTACGTCCCTTTGGGTGGGGTCCATTTTAAGGCTGCGGGGTCGATGGTTCTTCCATTTCCCCGTTTGGTCTCCTTTGCCTTCCAGTCGTCAATAAGATCCTACAGGAAAGGAAAACATCCGGAAAATGGAAAATTAGTGACCAGATGGGCAAATAAAGGGTAACCTAAGGAGAAACAGGCCATGTTCTTCACCTGTCTCTTTAAAACCAGGTGCTTTCCTTTCCAGTATTTGAGCATCTGAAGGGACTGCAGTGTGCTGACGATATCCACTGGGTTCACGGCCGTCTCTTGGCTGATCTCTGCAAAAACCAGAGAGTTAAAGGAGTTAAGGGTGATATAATCAGAATCAGCTGAAGACTTTTAACTACAGTTTATCGACTTCATGATACTAAAGAATTACAATAGTCCAGCCTTGAAGTAACAAATGCATGGACTAGTTTCTCAGCATCACCCCTGGACAGTATATTTCTAATTTTTGCAATATTCCTCAGATGAAAGAAGGAAATTATAGAAACCTCTTGGATATGAGATTTAAATGACAGATCCTGACCAAAAATAAAAACTAATATTCTTTACTTTATTATCTGAGATCAGTTTAACTCCATCCAAATGAAGTGACTGACTAATCAGCTTATTTTTCAAAGACTAACTTCTGTTTTGTCTGCATTCAGGAGCAAAAGTAGCCTGGGTGCCAGTCCGAACTTAGTCCCGCCCACAAGGTTTGAGTTCGGGGAAGTTCGGTCTGGCTCTGCTCCATAGTAGCGCGAGTATTAAAGCCCACTGTCAGGCGATCCAATCAAATTGTCAGGGCGGGCTTTATACGATGATGGACAGATGATCAAGAGTAACGTTATCAACCACGTGACCAAAGCGCGCTTAGGTGACAAAAATAATGGCTGCCGCTGGAGAGTTTGGGTGAGTAGATTCTGCTATTAGGTCTGTTCTAGAAGATATCGACAGCAAATTAATTTTAAAAGAGGAACAGAGAAACGCGATCAAGTCTCATCTTCTTATTCTAGGCGTGAAACTGCACGCTTTGATTTTTGTTGACAACAACTATGCCTCGCTTAAGATACGTCACGCACTCCGTTGCTCTTATTGGTTGTAGGTCTATCCAATTGAGTGCAGAGGCATTTTTTTTTCCTGGTCCGTTCGAAACACGCCCCATAATCACAGCTCTATGGAGCAGTATCAGACTCATATTCTGACTAGAATTGAGTCGGACTACGTCAGGCTAGAGCAAAAGAGTAAGAGTCATCCAGGTTTTTATGTCTTCGAGACATGCCTGTAATCTATGTAATGGGTTAGCTTCATCTGGATTTATAGACAGATATAGCCGGGTATCATCAGCATAGCAGTGAAAATTAATCCCATGCTGTCTAAGAACTCTACCCACTGGTATGAATGTAAATCTGTGTCGCTGGGATTTGAATTAAAAATGCCACTGAAATTTAAATGTTGTATGTTGGTACTTTCTGTTTCAGTGTTAAAATATATTCAGAACACATTTTAGACCTAAAAAGAAGTTCATTGTCATTATTTCTACACAGTTGAAATTTGATTTGTTATTTTCTCTTCAAGCTAAAAATTCACATTACTATTTCAAAGTGATTACATTTTCAATACTTATTTTTCAGTTTAATTTTTCAGTTAAAAAAATCTGCATATAAAAAAATTCAACCTTTCAAAATTCAAACTCAATATTTTCAGCCTCCTGAGATTCAACTGGCTCTATTTCACTGTCTTAAATTCGGCGTCTAAATTCAGTGTAAAAAGGGAAGGGTTACTTCAGGTCACAGACATTAGCAATGGATTGTGGCGTCCAACACCCAGCCAATCCTGTTACGTTTTCTTAGTCACGTGACGTGACGCTTGTGGCGCTCATACTGAAGGAAAACCAGCATGACGGAGCCGGTCATGCAAGCTAACGCTAACTCAGAAGAATGAAAGTAACAAACTCACCGTTGAGTTAGCGTTAGCTTGCATGACCGGCTCCGTGATGCCGGTTTTCCTTCAGTATGACGCAGCAGGCAGAAGCAGCGAGTTTACATGCAAAGTCAATGGTTGACGCGCGTCAAGGCGCAGCAGAAGGTCCCGCAGCGCATTTTGAGCAGCAGGCGCAGCGCATCGGGAGCGTTTAAGCATTTGACGCGCGTGACGCGCTGCAAACGCGCTGCTGCTCGAGATGGAAAAATTTAACTTTTGCTGCTCAACGCGCCGCGTCAACCAATCAGAGAAGCTGATCTGGGAGCTGGCCGTGAGACAGACACATCGCTGATGATACAGAGAGCTGTGACCACTCCTCTGAAACAGTTTATTAACGCCTAAATTAACTTAAAATGCTGAAACCTGCCGGCAGAATATGTTCGCTTTCATTATCCTGGTGCCTGCAGTTTAGATTATTTAGATGAAAAACACCTACCAGCCGCCATGGTGAACCGCGAGGAGGCGACCTGGCCAGAGGCTACTGTTGAATGGGATCCTACTGACAGCGCTCCGCTGGTATGTGGGGGTCTAAACGGCTCTGACAGAAATAATATTGGAAGGTGGGATTGTAATCTGGATGAACTGACTGCACTGATTAAGTTTCAGGTGGACTTTCTCACTTAAAAACATGTTAAAACTACTTTATTCCCACTGATCACAGCAAATATAGCTGCAAGGCAAAGAAAAGATAGAGAAGCTCCGCCCAACGCGCGTCAGACACACTTTTGCACCGCGCAGCAAAGCTGCTTCAGCCGCGCGTCAGAACTAAACTGGTACAAGCAGCAAAAAGGAAGCAGCAGACGCGATTTTGCTGCTCTTGCTGCGTCCGGTGTGAACGTAGCATAAGTACAAACATACAACATTTAATTTTCAGTGACTCTGTTTAGGATGCCTCCTGGACGCCTCCCTGGTGAGGTGTTCCGGGCACGTCCCACCGGGGGGAGGCCCCGGGGAAGACCCAGGACACGCTGGAGAGACTATGTTTCTCGGCTGGCCTGGGAACGCCTTGGGGTTCCTCCTGAAGAGCTGGAAGAAGTGGCTGGGGAGAGGGAAGTCTGGGCCTCCCTTCTTAAGCTGCTGCCCCCGCGACCCGACCCCGGATAAGCGGAGGAAGATGGATGGATGGATGGATTTTTAATTAAAATCCCAGCGACACAGATTTACTTCCATAGACTGGGAGCATATATATAGTAAAGAGAATTAAACTGCTCAAGAATATCAGAAACAGAGCAGTTAAATACAGTTTTAAAATTGGTGTGACTAACAGAAATATTGAAGATATTTTGATATCTGCAGTACTACCAGCAGGTGTCGCCACATCTGCTTTTCTTTTGCTCATCAGCACAGTGCTGGAATTCTATTTAGGCTCAAAGAGGGCTATTAAAACAGCATCAGGACGGACGCTTGGTGTAAAGCCTTATTTTATCAAGATCAACTGGATTTTGGTCTTTTTGTTTGCATTCTATGCAAGAGTCTGGGTATTACATCATCATTCCTCTCGAAGCACATCCAAACCTTTGATAGAGATCTCCTTTCCCTGAAAATTATTCAGGTAACGCAGCAGAACGTCTTTCCAGTAACTTCTGTAGCTAATGAGGCCAAGGTCGGACAGCGGGCGCTCAGGCGAGCCCACCTTCTCCTCCACCTTGGATAACAGGTAGCCTGTTGGAAGAGGAGGGAATGTTGATGCTTTGGTTTCTATACGTTTGTAGCAAGTTTACTATACCAGAGGTTACAAAAGAGGGGGGTAGTGAGATTGTTTTCACAATCATTGTAATATGATCCCTGAGGTATATGGAGGACCAAAAAAAAATAAATAAAAAAATAAAAAAATGTAACATTTATTTGTTTATCTATTCAACCCATGATTCAAACATTAAATATGAGATAAATTACAATTAAATTAATCTATTAACTGCCCCATTAAATAATAAAATGAAATACGATTAAATATAACGGATTCAATTATATGTGTTAAATATTAAATAATTTAAAAGTCATTAAAAATTAATAGAAATAATTAGCTTTTATGCATACATAAATATATGTTTTATTTTTGGGATATCAGGCTGAATGTTTTGGGAACCTCAGTTCTACCGTCCCTCCCTGACAGGCTGGCATTTAGCATTTTAGAACGAGTCACAGCGCAGAGGAGGAGATGAAGATGAGCGGCTGCACTCACTGAAGTCAATGAGCATCTTTCCGTAGCCTTGCCTCATGTACTGTGGCATTGTGAGGATGCAGGAAACATTATAGTTCAAGAAGGAGTTCTTCTCCTGTGGAAGGAGAAGAAACGATCATCACCTGGGCGCCGGCTTATGGCGCTGCACTGGGGAAAAAAACAAAACGATAAGGAGCAGCAGGATTCTGTGTTACCTTAGAGAAGTAACCCACTAGGTGGCATCCTGTGTTGTCGGCTTCTGTCATGACGTAGAAGAGGAAGGGCTCCACGTCGTAATACAGTGTTTTGTGGTCCAGGAATAGTTTTGCTAGCAGACACAAGTTCTGACAGTAAATCTGGTTGTGGAGAAAGCAAAACAGATCATGAAACAGTTTCATTTTGGCCAGAAAACCAGGCATGTGGCTACGATGCATGGTTCAAATTTAATCTATTTTGTATTTTTGAGCAGATTCTCCAGTCGTGCGAGGACTTTCCGATCGGGCTGACTTTAAGCCTGATCGTGCGTTGTATAGTGTTCAGGGGGTAGCGCAGGGCAATCAGCCTCTCACAACCAATTCAATTCACTTTATTTATATAGCACCAATTCACAACATGTCATCTCAAGGCACTTTAGAATTTAACCAGATCATCCAGTCAAATTGATTCAAAGTTTTCTATCTAAGGAAAACCAGTTGATTACATCAACTAATTGACTCGAAAGCGATCCCTCACACTAAGCATGCTTGTAGCGACAGTGGAGAGGAAAAACCTCCAGATGGGGAATCGTAAGGTAAGAGGAAATCAAAGATGCTTGAAATTCAGTCGGCTGTCGTAAGGTGATCGTTGGCAAATCGCTCAATGGTCATGTGCAAACAAGGATCCTTCTTTTTCCTCTCAGACAAAAACAAAGAAGCATGGCGGGCGGTGCGAGGGAAATGGAGTTCTTTCTTTAAAATGGACAGACCGTAGTCAGTGGCGGTTCTAGACCAAATGTACCAGGAGGCCCAGAGGGGGACAGTGTGTTTTCATGGGGGCACAAAGAAACATGAAATAAAAAACAGGGCAAGGGACTCAAATAAATTAAGACAGCTGCATGAAGTGAAATTTCTATTCAATTAGGTTTCATTAAAATTCTAAATGTCATATTAGGTCAACATACATTCAGAATTTAGACTTAATTTAAGTTGAAATTACAGTTTTCTATAAAAATTTGAATTAGAATTTAAGAAATTTTTAAATTCAGCTGTAGAAATTAGAGTATTTTTAAAGTTTGTTTGAAAAAAACATTTAGCAGATGTAAACTGGGATGCTATCTCAAGCTATCACTTTATTTTATTTTTTTAAAATAGTTAATAAAACAGAATTTGTAAAGAAAAAAGTTAAATAGATCCAAAGGACCTATCAGTTACCATGTCTGGTACAGCGAGTATCATCATTAGAATTTCTTTGACTATTATGTCTTCAGTACATGGGCCATAACAGGGGCCAGGACATGATCTACAGGGGCCCTGGCCCCCGTTGGCCCCTGTGTAGAACCGCCCATGACCGTAGTAGCTATGTTTGCTCAGCCATGTCTTTGTCCAAGTGCTTTCAGCACTAAATTGCTGAGGCAGTGTGTTTCACTCTAGTGAGCTTCATATTTAACAGGAGGTATCGACACTCCCGTCTTTTTCTTTTTCTTCTACTGGTTTGGCTCCCGGATAGACGAGTCCGAGTAGCTCCATCTCACTTCAGAGCTGAGTCCGACGTGGTTTTTAGACGTACAGTGTGAGCAGGTAGATCGCATCCGAGCGTCGGGCTACACAGTGTGTGAACATACATCGGGAGCTGTGAACTCACACTGTACGAAGAAACCCTGCAGTTTCGTCGTACAGTGTGAGCTGTAGCTCAGGCAACGATTGAAAGAAATCGTACAGTGCATGCCCAGCTTTATAAGATTGCAGAACAGGATATTTATGCGTGAAAGGGTTCATCAATAATAATTATATAATCAGTAACAAATTTAGTTATTAATTAATCGTTTAATGGAGTATATAGACTAATACACGCAATTAGCTGAAAGAGCAACCCACTCAGAGCAGTAACTGTGCCCAAATGGAAAAAAAATATAGAAAAGTTTTGCCATTTAAGGCGCTTAGAGGCAAAGTTTTAGTTTCACCTGGTTTAATTTCTATACAAACTCTTCTTTTCATGGAAATGTCTCACTTTTCTAATTAAAATAGATTAAAAGTAATTATTTTTCCTTTTCAAAATTCAAATGCATTTTTTAATCATACTTAAATGGAAAGTGTTTAATAAATCCAGGTTTTTCTTAGCAGTCAAGTACAGCTTTAATAAATGCATATTCTGCAAAACCTAATGACATCACATCAAAAATAGAATACTCCTCATAGCTAAGGTTTAGCAGTTCATAAATACGATGTCGTGATGCCATTTTTTAAAACATTAACTGAAAAAAGACAAACTTGTCAGCGTTAAGCTACGTTCACACCGAGCGCGAATGTCGCAGCTGGAGCAAAGGATTCCCATCTAATCTCTATGCAGAGGGCGGATCTAGAGCGAAGCAAATCAGGGCGGGTCAAAGGTCGCGGATTTAGGGTCGCAAACGGCATGATTTTAGCAAAGTTGGAGAGATTTGATCGCAGCCTTTCCTGCGAATGGAGCAGAAAAACAGAAACTTTTGTTTACATTCATGTGGAGAAAGCCAGTCAGGGAGTAGACTTTTATGTTTTCATTTAATTTTTTGGAATAAAGAGGTGTGATCTCATAAAGTAAATTTTTCCCAGGTATAGAGCGGCAGAGGCTGAAGATTGACATCTGCAGATGTGAGGCTGAATGCACCTCAGGCCTGTCAGACACAGTGGACAGATCATTTCATTTATTAAATTGATTATTGTTTTATTTATTTTCTTTTTTGTTTATTAAATGTTAAAAATGTAGCTTTGTTTTGATCGTGAAAAAACATTTCTATGAATCTGCTTTTCATGAAGAACTAAAAAAGCATCAAGGTTAGCTGAAGGCTGAAGTCCGTAAAAAGAATATATAAACTTTGACAAAGAGCTGAATAATTCACTCTGATTTTTGGAGGAAGGCTTTTTTGAAAATCGTGGTTTTGAAATTTCAAAACAATTTTTTTTTTTCATTCATTTTTTTCAGGGACATCTGTCTAAAATAAAATAAAATGTTAAAGTTTCATATTTCTTGGAGATGAAAATGAAAAAAGATGACCCCAATCGATGACTAAATGAATGGTTAGCAGCCCTGAATGTGAAAAGGTTTACCTTGTTCTTCTTTCCGTCCACCTCAAAGACAGAGATGTTCCCCTTCCTGTAGATCTCATCACCTGGTGGATGCTTCCACACACATTTGGCCTTAAACACAGAACAGGAAAAATATTCTGCTTTAAAACCCCAAGATGTAAGGAAGGGGGCAAGTGCCACAGTACAATAAATGAAATAATAAATAATTATAAATAAATAATTAGGGATGCACGATATAATTGGCCCCCTATCTGTATCGGCCTTAAAACTGAATATTGGACATCGGCCACCCCACCGATATTTAACCTGATATTTGATCAGCTTCTGAGTTTCTAAAGTCTAAAAAAATAAATAAATACTACTTCTTCTTCTTCCTCAAAAACTTCTTTTTTACAAACTTAAAAACTTCTAAAGACGAGGGAAAAATACTGATACATTAAAATATCCCAATATCTTCATATGCTGATATACTGATATTTAAACACATTATATCAATCTTTTACTAATGAAATATTGCTATATGTCATCGTTATGCTACGAAATCCCCCGAAAATTCACGAAATTTTGCCATATTTTTATATGTTGATATATTGACGTGGTATCGATCTATTTTACTAACAAAATCTCACAAGAATTTGCAAAATATCACGAGAGTTTGTAACAGAACGATGAAATTTCACGAGATTTTGAAAGTAAAATAGATCGATACCGCGTTTTTAAAAATCAATTTGATATCAGCATATGAAAATATATTTGAGTATATTATTTTTCAAAGTGTCAGAAATGGATAACAAAACTGCCATTTTCAATGACTACTTATTTTTGTCCAGCTTTAATATCGGTATCGGATATCGGCCAAAATCCCAATATTGTGCATCCCTAATAATGATTTTAATTGTGTGAATAATTGATCAAATTTGGAAATAAAAACAAAATCTATTTGATATATATAGAATTAATTATAAGAACCTTGCATAAATACACGTATTTTATTTTTACTGCATGTATTTATGTCATGATTTAATAAATTGTTTAATGTTCCTGCAATGAAGAACACCATGAATTTATATAAACTGTCACACATCCACCAGAGACAAGGAGGTGGGACTAGAAACCCTGTTGTTGGATTGGTCGCTTCTTACAGAGCAAGAAAAGACAAATAATTCCTTTTTTTCTTTTAACTCTTAAGAGAATATTATCACTGAAAAGACGGTGTTGCCCTTTATTTACAGCACATTGGGTGAGCAACTCCAGCTTTTCTGTTCCTACTTTAGTCTAAAATAGCTAATAAGCCAATTGAGATAAATAGATGTAAATCATTTTACTGTATTCCATGTCATAATTCCAAAGTTATATTTCATTTTACATTTCATAATATCGGTTGATTTATTGATGTATTACATAAACAAACGGTACATTTAATGGTTTTTTATATTTTTCATTTTATTTATTACTTAATAGTACTTTCCCCCAATATAAGCATCTATTCCATGTTGTCCCCTTTATACCCACAAACACAGAGTTCCTTCAACATAAAGAAAGTTAAATTCAAGACTTTTTTTGTCACTTGAAATGAAACTTTAAGACCAACTTCACAACAAGCACAAGAAAACCTGGTTGCGACAAATTTAACCTGATGCCTATTTTAACATAAACCAATATTTTCTTGGCCAGTAGAAATGTTTACAATTTGGAAAAACTTTCCATATAGGAAGAAAGCTAAAAACACAGTAATAACAAATATATTTTTAAGGTCGTAGGGAAGCGGCTGTTCCAAAAGTTGCATTTCCGAATTCTCCCGAGTGGTGCACGACTTTACACGAGTGAATAAAGTGAATGTGATTAGGTCGTTCATCAAGAGGGCGGGATTGTTGAGGCGGAAGGTTCGCAAGCTTTTTGGTTGTGACCGGTTTCTTCGAAGCATCTTGCTAACCAGTTAGCAACTTAGTGCTAGTAGGTTTCCAATGGGAAATTCCATTGGAACCAAGTAGCACTAAATTGGTGACTTAGAAACGACACTGTCAAGGAACGCTATGGACAGAGGAAACATGCAAGAGGAGGAAAGTTTAGTGTCAGAGGTCATGGATGAGTCTCCTCCATCATCCATTTTTTATTAAGAGGAGGAAAGCGGGGACGAAGATGTTGTGGAAGAGGACGCCAGGGCGGCAGAAGCTTGGTTTGGTGTAGAAGGCTTACAGCCGTACATGTTTGAGTCCTTGCCTCACAACACTGTGTTTTGTGTCGGAGGTCGTTGAGTATAACTAACTGGCCTGCATAAGATAACGGGAAAAACCCCCCCACAGATTTTAAGACAGGAATTTTCTTTTTTATTGAAATTTTCTAAATTTTGGGACAATATAGTCTGATAAAGAGTACATTTATATACATATTTAAGCCAGATTTATTTGACATTTAAATATGATTTCCCTACGGCTTTAACAACTGATGAATTTACAATCTTCGTTTTGATCTCTACTCAAAGTCCATAATAGCTCTGCTTTCATTGTAGGCGAACCGCCAAACATTATCCGGAGGTTTGGCGCTACTGGTTCTTTCTTTGACGTCGGAGATGCTGTAGAGGCCTTGCAGAGACGAGGATTGAACAGAACTGAGAAATAGCAGCTGCTTCTCTCTAACTTGATTGTGGAGCTTTGTTTTTCACTAACATGTCTGACTCCACAGCTTTGATTCCCATCGTGCCGAGACTAAATGACTTCTTGCTCAAAGTTCGCCATTCCTCATATACGTTACCTGGTACAGTTTTTATCCATGCAGAAAACTATTGGTAGGAGAGTCAATTTTCATTGAATTTACTTCCCCACGTTGTCCAGATAAAAAGTTATTGTCGCATCACCTGAAGGTCTGCTTGAAACATCGTTTTTATTGGTTCTGCTTTCAGGATGGAACTAAGAATGGTTCCAGCTAATCCGTTCGCTAAATGTCAAAAAATTATTTTGAATTATTTACATTTTTTAAAAGTGAATTACAAAAGTAAAATCCTATTTATGACTTGGTGACAAATTTAAGACATATGAAAGACTGATTTAAGAGCCATTAAGGCCTTATTTTTATATTGAAGAATTCAATGCTTTTTAAGACTTTTTAAAGGGGAACGCCGTTTTTATTTACATTGGCCCCTTGATTTTACGTTATTACATCATGTTCTACTCACCCATATAAGTTTTGTGTCATTTGGAGCTGTTCTGAAGATATTTGGTTAGGTTATATCCAAGTAACGTCTTCCTATAGGCAACGAGTTGAAGGCACAAACTAGGAAGACGTTACTTGGATATAAGCTAACCGAATATCTTCAGAACAGCTCCAAATGACACAAAACTTATATGGGTGAGTAGAACATGATGTAATAACGTAAAATCAAGGGCCTAATGTAAAAAAAAAATGGCGTTCCCCTTTAAGGATCTGTATTAACCCCGATACAATATTCACCACAGGCGGGTTGCCCTACCATGTGCCTGCGCAGAATGGTCTCGCTCTTCATGTACTTGAGGCAGAACTCGCACATGTAGAGGCGCCCCAGGCGGGCGTACTCCTCTGGGTAGGGCGAGTGGTACCAGGTGTCCAGCTCAAAACGGCCAAAAACTATAGTCTTGATCATGTTGCTGCCCTCCGACACCTGGCCGGCCAGACGGAGCTTCTCCTGTTTGGAAGGTCGGGGCAGGGAGACACGGGACAGGGGGCGGAGAGGAGAGGAAGACGGGAACAAAGAATCAATTATTATGGGAAGAGGTGAAGTTGAGATAAAGACTGTTCTTCTCTCAGAGGAGGAAACCAGCCAGAGAAACATGAGAAGAAAATTCACATGGACGGATGAAACGCTATGTTTCCGTTTCTGACCAGATAAGTCTATTCAGGTCTGAACCTTGTTATTAAAACTAACGACTGAAACGTGCATCTGGTTTGCCTCTCTCATCTGAATGAACATGGAATGACATGAGGTTTATCCAAGGTACCAAAACTATCTGAGTCTCCTGCTGAGGCTGAAGAGGAGGGTTTGCAGACTGAAAAAGAGAAGAAGAGAAGTAAGGCAGAAAAGGGGAGGGGGGGCAACGCAAGAGAAGGAAAAGAAAAATATAAAGTGGCGGGACATGAAGATGAGTTTTCTCTCTTACAAGATCCTCCGAAGCACGTGCCTGCGCTTTCCTGAACAGCTCCAGGTCGTAGTCGCTGGTGATGTTCTCCAGCAGCGGCTCCCGGCTCGTCCCGTGGCTCTGCCGGTGTTCCTGTCAAACGGGCGGGGAGAGAATTTAGATCCATCGACATCTTAAGTGGAATCCAGAAATGGAACCTTTATAAAAAGGTTTTAAGAGCTACTTTGCCTTTTTGTCAGATCAAAACATTTTTTTTTCATATTTTCTTTCTTTTCAGACTCGATTTGATTTTTAAATTTTTGTTTCTCAGATTCTCTTCACTTCCGGAGACGGGCTTTCCTCTGAGTGAGGAGCGAAGAAGCATTTCTATTGGTCTATAAGGACGTTAGCAACAACATTTTTACTGGTCGATGTGAGCGTCAAGAGCCAGAGTTCACATTGAGCTTGAAGGGAAAAATTTGATCTATAAACGCTTTTTGAAAAGAGTTGAATTTGATCTGAAAAAGACATAAATCTGTAAAGGAAAAAAAAAATATATTTTTTAGAAAAATCTAAATATGAAAAAAAGCAGACTTAACTGTTTTTCTGATGTTATTTTGGTTTCATTGGTGGATGATTATTTAAAAAAAATTGTCAATTTTTAAAAATTCAATTCAATTCAGTTTATTTATATAGCTCCAAGTCATCTCAACGCACTTTACAGATCAACCAGATCATACAGTCAATAATTTAAACAATAATGGAACAAAATCAACTCTATAAACAGGTGGGAACTTTGTAGAAACGTAATGAAGAGCTTCACCTTCCTCTACTTACTGTATATTTTTCCTTCTGCTCCTTGTTGAGGCCAGAGTTCCTCTTCCTCCTCAGCTCTGTCACCTTGTCTTTGTAGCGCAGCTGTCCCTCTGTGGGGGCCTGACACACCACACAGCCACAGAGACATAACAGTGACCCCTCTGCAGAGAGACAGTCCCTACCTCCAGCCCTCTAAGGCTGGACGCTCATCTGCTCTCTAGTAATAGTCAACAATCTAAGAACGGAAACCAAATCATTTCAGCTGTGCAGACATTTCTCTAGAAAACAAAATGAACCAGCTGAGAACTGAAGGAATGGGAAGATTTGTGTCATTTAAAGGCACACTATGCAACATTTTTCAGTTAATTAATGTGTTCCATAACGTCTTGGATGATTAAATGAGTCATTTCAGGTTGAACAGAGGTATTCTCGGCCGCCCTGGTGTTCTGTGGGGGAAATACCGCACTTGCAATTGCAGGAGCACCGACCCGCACCCACAGGCTCAAAAGTCCCGCGAGAGTCGGTCTTGCTTTACGGCGAGAACTGCTACACGCCCCCAGTTAAAAGCATGCTCGTTGCTAGCACAGTGGCGATCTTTGTGCAGTTATCATGGCGGAATCAGCGTGAAAACAGCGAAAGCCCATGTCGGAGCAGGCAAGAAAGAGGAAAAGGGCTCCGGACAGAGAGAGGAGATGTACACGGGTGAACATCGGCCAAGCTTTTTCCGAATGGCGAGAGCTAAAATAAAAAGAAGGCTGCAAGGCTGACGCGGACCTCGCGTTTCTGCTGATGCGATTGTAAGTAACATTGGAATAATTTCTCTCTCTCTGTGTGCATGTTCATACTTTCACTGTGTTAGTCATTCGTTGCGTTCGCCTGTCTGCTAAGCTCAAAACAACCGCGCCTGGCTTGACGGAGAAACCAGGAGAACAGCTGTGCATATTTACGACAGTGCACTTTTACTTTCGCCCTCTGGGGGGAGCCTCGCTGGAAAATCAACACCGGTTGCATAGTATACCTTTATGCTTCTATAAATAAAAAACATCAGCTGACTGCTGGCATCAAAGGTTTTAACTCTGTTAAACCATTTATCTGATTGTTTCAAAGCGTTTGGGTTGGAAAACCTTAACTTTTGCTGCTCGATGCGGAGCATCAGCTACAGACAGACCGCTATAGCGGTCGGCAGATATTAACTCTTTCTCAACCAAATATTCAGACAATTTAAACATTTACTTCATATATTTCCTAGAAAAAACAAATAGAAAAAAATCCCTGATCTGGAAAAGTTGGAAACTTCAGCAAAAGTAAACAAATTATCGAAAAAAAATTAATTAATAATTTTAGAGAAAAAATCTTGAAAATATATATGTAAAAACTTAAGAACTTAAGAGATTTAAACAATAAAATTTCCAAACATTTAAACTAAGATATTTCACAAATCAATGCGAAAAATAATCTAAGTTTCAAGTGGAACAATAATGAGATAACCTACTGGTTTAAAGTCACTGCCTAAGTCAAGTTGCTGTAAAAATACAATAAAAATGTTGAAGGTTATGTTTTTATTGGATTTAAAAGCAATCCTTGAATTTAAGGAGAAGGATGAGGATAAACCCAAAGCTACACGACTAAAGCTAAATCATGTCGTGCTCCTGAAATCTGATTTCTGCTGCCTGTCAGATGAAGTAAACAGGAGCATCAGACGCTTTATTTCCTGTGTGAGCCGTCATCGCTGTGACCTCGCTACACTGACCACCAGCAGTGTGATCTCAGCTGTTCCTGCATGAAAAGTAACATGAGAGTGAGGTGTGGGGGGGGTTGCCTTCCTGCATATTACCTGGCTACGTGTGGAGTGTCTGTTCTCGTCCTGCAGGTGCGACAGCGCCCTTTCCTCGGCCTGCTTGTCTCGTGTCGTCGCTTTGCCCTGTCAAACAAATCAACACTGTCTGGAGCCCCGCAGCAAAAAAAACAACAACAACAGCCTCCTCCTCGTTTCTACAGCATGACAATTTCTATTTGCTTCTGATGCTTTTCTTCACATGAACTCATTGGACATCTTCTTGTAAAACTATTCCCACCCTTTAAACATTTCTGCACAACCACAGAATTCATCGTAAACAGACAAAGTAAATGTCTTATTGAGCTCCCTCAATTAAATAATGGTTTGGTTTATTTTCCTCATGACGGAAAAGAAAGGTTGTCACATTTAAAGAGAGGATGGATGGAGCTAGGGCTGAAACAATTAATCAGATTAATCTAGTCAACTAATTTAGCAATCGGTTAATCGTTACCTGGAGAGTAGAAACTCTAAAACATGGCTTTAGCTGACAGTGCGAACCACTTAGAGCTAACATGACTCCGCCAGATGGATTTGCTCCGCATATCCATCTGGAAACCTTCCGTTGAAGTAATTTAGGAAGGGGTGAAAATACTGGTTAGCTGATTGGCCTATGTTGGTGATCGACGGGCCAAATAAACCAATCAGATCAATGAAGCATATGACGTAACAGAGCAACGACGAAGAGGAGCCAATTGATAGATCAAACTCTTGCCGAAACCAGTCGGGAGAAGAGAAAAAACATCTTTTCCTCTGAGAAAAGCCTCCAGAGCAGTGTTTTGCTCTTCTTTCAGTGAAGAAATACTCTGTAATTCCGATAAAACTTGCTCGATAGCCACGCTAACGCTAGTTTCATTGGCTGAAGCTGCCATGTTTTTTAGACTGAACTGTCGCGCTTCTCGTTGCATCACACCTCAACCCGCCTCAAAGCCAACGCTGATTGGACGTTCGTTTGGTGAACGGCTCCAAATTTTCTTCAACGGAGAGTCTGCAGACTGATTAGCGAGTGAAACCTTGAAAGCTCGCAAGATCAGGATGGTCTCACCAGGCTAACTTAGAGCAGCAATTATACCAAAATTGTAAAAGAAATATGTAAATATTTCCGATTTATGAAGTAAAAAACTTTTTTGTCTGTCAATATGTTCAATCCAGAACTCATCAAGTGGAAAAGTTTTAGTTTCACATGGTTTAATTTAGTAAGAAGTCTTCTTTAAGGAACCTTTGACTACGAATCGAAAAAATAATTAACGGTTTCATCAATTTGCTAAATAATCGTTAGTTGCAGCCCCAGATGGAGCTAAATAAAGAACCTGCTAAAAAAAACAAAAATGAACAGATTGGTCTAAAGCCCAGATGCAACTCAAATAATCTGTGGAATGAGTCAGAAATAATCTTTATGGAGCTCTACAGAGAAAAAGGAACATGAATGGCAGCCCATTGCTGAACCAAAACCTAAAGGCATGTAGCTTATTATGTATCGCATGAAACCAGGTGTAAATGTGCTATTTTGAGCAACATTAAACCATTCTAGCTTCATATCTCTACACACATTTAATTAAGGCAGTACAATATATCCATATCAAAATTAGCGGTGCGTATTGGCATGGTTGATGTGATACGATACGTGTCACCATACCTGGGTCACAATATGAATTATTCACGATATTGCAATATTAATATATATATTGCAATATTTTTCTCAGCTATCAAAAACTAAATGTAAAAATAAAAAAGCAAGTGCTGTAAATGTTCATCAGAACATATCGATCATTTAATTATTTTGGGATCCATGTGGTTTGGGGTTTCAGTCAGTCCCTGTCTGCCTCAGCTACAGATATGGCGCTGCCCGCACAGCAAAATGGCTCCACAGCGCCATCTGCCAGAGTGGGGGTGCAGAGGTAGCCCATTTTCCCTCATTGTTTTACGTAAAAATATTTAGTTTTGTTTTGTAATGGCCGAATATCAGGATATATCACTAGATCAATTTTTCCCACACCCCGAATCAAGATAGTGTCTATGATAAGCATACCACAAAAAACCAGCAGTTTGTTTTAAATGTTTATTTTTTTTATACGATTATGCTTTTTGCTAAATGAAATCGGATTCTGAAATGAATGCCTCAAATCTTTAAATTTCTACTGTATATTAGTGTTGTGTCAATTACACAGAAGATAGGAGTATTTGACAAATCAAAGGAAGCCTTCTAGTATTCAGCAAATCAGATTTTTTACGTTAGATTCTAGCCACCTTTCTCAATAGATGATTGGTGGAGAGCAAACAGGCTGAGCTGAAAGTGTAATGGGAACCACAATGGAGGAGGGTTTAAACCAAAGGAGAAAAATGTAAACGAAGAAGATCTCAGTTATAAAAGAACCAGGTTCTCTATGAAACACACAGAGCACTTTTAGCACTTATCCTCATTGTCACCTTCAATCCAAGAACCAGAATTGTCATGTTTTTGGCTCTGATGGTTTGGTTTTTGTTTAATGGCAGCCGATCATTTCCACTTGGTTCCTCAGCTATTTATGTTGCTTGCTTGCCTACTATCAGCACCAGGTTATTGGAGCAGTTTGTGAGATTAACTCTAGCGTTTAGTATATTATGCTGATTCTCTGGCAACAACCAAACTTGCATGCAAACCTTCCACCACAAAAATCCCGCCCCCTTGATAAACGACCAATCACATTCACATTCAAGTCGTGCACCACTCGGGAGAATTCAGAAATGCAACAGTTGGAATGGCCGTTTCCCTACGACTTTAAATTCACTAACCTCAGATTCTATCTTGGACAGAAAATCCAGTGAACCCGCTGCAGCTGACCAGCAACCCCACGTTTCTGTCTTTGTTTTCTAATAAAAGCTTTGAACTTTCCCATTGCCTGTCTCACCTTTAATATTGGGTCCAACGCTCTGAGATCATGAATGTAGATTCCAAAACAGCCAGCGTTATCAAATAAAAAAAAACCATTTGGACGGATAAAAGCTGCCGCATTCTCAGACTAAACTCTGCATATTGTGAGCTGAGCAGACCCTGTGCTCATCGTCAGTGGAGATAAGTTTTCATACATTTCCCAAACTTTATAAGAGTCAATGGGAAGAAGGGGAAGAATGTTTGTTAGCAAGTAAGACGAGCTAGCTGAGCGTAAGCATGGTTTCTTCTCCGCCAGAAATCAGCCAAAAGCTCTCACATTTAATAAACACTCCAACGATCAGATTTATTTAGAAAGACATCAATCCAGCCTACTTGGAGTGGAAAAAGTAAAGTATTCACAGCATCTCAGAAGAAAAAGATTAATTTAATAAGATCTGGAATACTATAAAACATGGAAAAAATAGAAGAGCTGTTACTTTCCGGATGCACGGTTGCAGGAGATGTCATCATCTCACTGAATTTGGTCTATAAATATATGTGTACCTTGCATTCATCAGCAGAGAGGTTGTGGTAGAGCGGGCAGCCTGATATGGAGAAATGTCTCTCATGTCTTCCTGTTAGATGACCTGGGAGAAATGGAGGGAGGGTGAGAACAGATAAAAATGTCTGCAGATGAAAGACAGTAAATTTAAAGGCTTCTGACATTTGAGCTGGAGATCAAAATAAAAAAAAAAGGTGGCGGAACAGAGTTTAGCTCCTCACCCAGCGAGTTGCATCCTGGTGTGGGACACTTCATGTTAAAATTGTAGCTTTCATGGAACCGTCGTCGTTTAGGGCGGTGGGAGAGGTCGTGGGCCGCGGCCTCTTTCATCGACAGCTCTTTGGCCAGCCTCTCGTCCTCCTCTTGGGAAACTACTATATTGTTGCTGGAAGACACGTGCTCGTTGCTCGGGCTGGAGACGTCGATATCGGACTCTGAGGACGGGGCGTTGCCTGTCGGGGTCCGAGGTGGCGTCTCATCCCGGTCTGCTCTTTGTTTTGCATCTGCTGGGCAAGTTGAGAAGATTTAGACCCACAAATTTACCATTAATTCATTTAAAATAAAAAACATCCATCCAGATTTTACAGGCTCTGATTTATTTGGAGGGAAGCGTCTCTGCAGGCCACATATATCCACACATACAGATGTGATAAATAGCCTTCAGCAGCAGCTGGCCTCAGATAAATCCAATAGTGAGGAATAATGTTACTGCTGCAGAAGAGCAGGCAGCTGAGGGACTGTGGCTGCACAATGAAAGCACATATTTCAACATGTTTTCCTTCCTTTTTTATTACCTTCAGATAACAGAGGGGTGGTGTTTCCAAGCAGCAGCATCAGCACATAAAAAAAAAAAAACAGCTTTGGATAATTTCAAACAACACATATGCTGATGAAGATTCTGTGTCTTTCAGGTCAGTCATTCCATAAAAACAATCCACTGGACCTTGTTTCCAAGTATGAAGACATTTTGCTTCCCATCCAGGAAGCATCAGAAAAAGCGTTGAGTTTGAGGCTATATAGAGTGGGCCAAAAAAAGTCCATCTACACCTTATGGACAAAGGAAATTCTTTTGAGGACCAGAATGTCCACATTTTGGACAAAGAAGATTGATGGTTTGAGAGGGGCATAAAGGAAGCCATCTATAATAAAGTCATAGGGAAATCATATTTAAATGTCAAATCATTCTGGCTTAAACATGTATATAAATCTACTCTTTATCAGAGGATATTGTCCCAAAATTTAGAAAATTTCTTTAATAAAATCTGTTTTTGTTTTTTTCTTCGTTCTATTATGCAGGCCAGTTAGTTATACGTCAGCTTGAACACCTAAATTCGGCCAATCATATATCAACAGTCATCTTTCAATCAAATTTTTTCAAACATAGCATCTTGATTCATATGTCGCAGCTAATATACGCAACAATTGAAATAAGAAATAAGAATCCTTTCCTTTCCCATTGAGTTCCGTCCCAGTGTTCACGGGGATGGACGTCTGTGTCTTCAGCAGGCGTAGAGCTAACAGAACTGGCAGCGTTGCGAGGCAAGGGCTCAAACATGTACGGCTGGAAGCCTTCTACACCAAACCAAGCTCCTCCACAACATCTTCGTCCCCGCTTTCCTCCTCTAAATAAAAAATGTATGATGGAGGAGACTCATCTACGACCGCCGACAATAAACTCTCCTCCTCTTGCATGTTTCCTCTGTCCATAGCGTTCCTTGACAGTGTCGTTTCTAAGTCACCAATGTAGTGCTACTTGGTCCCAATGGAATTTCCCATTGGGAACCTACTAGCACTAAGTTGCTAACTGGTTAGCAAGATGCTTCCGACAAACCGGCCATAAACAAACTTGCTTGCAAACCTTCCGCCACAACAATCCCGTCCCCTTGAAAAACGACCAATCACATTCACTTTATTCACTTGTGTAAAGTCGTGCACCACTCGGGAAAATTCGTAAATGCAACGGTTGGAACAGCCGTTTCCCTACGACTTTAAGAAAGAAAAAACAAACCTTAAACAGAGGGGATGGACTTTCAAAAAACTACAATGCAGCAATTGAGTTGATTCCTTCCCGGCATCATCGCAACCCCCATCTCTATAGAGGGGATCAAAACACCTCGCACCTGTTTGAGCCAGGCCAACAATTCCCTCTAACGCCCCCTCTTTCAGAGACATAGACAGGTATCGGCTATTACAGGCTAACAAAAAACTCAAACGACCCCCATTCCAAAGGAGCAGACCTGTTAGTGAGGTTCAATTTGCATGTTTTCAAAACCAAAACGAGGCTTTTCGGTCCACTCTATAAGGCCTCAAACTCAACACTAATTTTGACACTTTGAATTGAAAAAGATTCCTGGATGGGAATCGAAACGCCTTCAAACTTGGAAACAAAGTCCAGTGGATTGTTTTTAACTAAAAAAATGTATGAACTACAGACTCATGCTGCCAATTTTTTCTTTTTAGGGACAATTTTGGAAAGTGATAAAAAGAACAGTAATAATATCTCTAGCTTAGACAGTTTACCCAAGCTGGGATATAAACCAATAGTTGACTAACAATTGATTGTCAACTTCTATTTGTAAAATTTCTTCCATCCAATTAAATGATGATATTCGCTTAGAGGGCATGTCCTTCTGTGTTGTAATGATACTGCCGTCCACTAGAGGGCACCGCTGTTCATTCTCTGAAACAGCTGCCATGTAGCTGTTGAATTGAAAACAAGGATGTGAGAGAGAAAAGTAGAGGATGTTGTGCGGTGCCCCGGGACGCAGTGTGGGGGTTAAGGGTCTTGCTCAGGGACCCAGAGCGGCAGACTGTGCGGGTGGGGCTTGAAGTCAGAACCTCTGGGATCAAGGCATAATGCCCTTAGCACTAGACCGCCGACACCTCGCTAGGCCACCACCCCCTCTCCGTAATTCATACATTAGCCTATTTTAGGGATGCATCTTCAGAACATAAAATGTCTGAATATCATTTCTTTTATGGTGAAAAACATACTGATACTTCTTATATCAACATATAAAGCATTATAAACATTCTGGGTGTTTTTATACAACTTTCTAACTTTCCCAAAGTTCTGTTATTGCAGCTTAGAGTTTTTACCAATATTGGCCTAAAACACTATTAGTAGAAATCATACCTACTTTTATTTACTTATTTTGTACTTTGGCATATTAGAAAAGGTTTGATCAAGTGATTTTACTCAGAGAACAGACAACAAGATGAAGTAGGAGAACCACTGACCAATTAATTGAATTTAAAATCCTCCTTCTCACATATAAAGCCTTAAATGGCCAAGCTCCATCTTATATCAGAGATCTGATTGTTCCTTATGTTCCTAACAGAACACTTCGCTCTCAATCTGCAGGTTTACTAGCCTGGGTGCCATTCCGAACTTAGTCCCGCCCACAAGGTTTGAGGTTGGGAAGTTCGGTCTGGCATTGCTCCATAGTAGCGCGAGTATGATCGCCCACCCTCTGGCGATCCAATCAAATTGTCAGGGCGGGCTTTATACGATGATGGACAGATGATCAACAGTAACGTAATCAACCACGTGACCAAAGCGCGCTTGGGCGACAACAACAATGGCTGCCGCCGGAGAGTTGAGGCGAGTAGATTCTGCTATTAGGTCTGTTCTAGAAGATATCGACAGCAAATTAATTTTAAAAGAGGAACAGAGAAACGCGATCAAGACTCATCTTCTTAATCACAGCTCTATGGAGCAGTATCACTCATATTCTGACTAGAATTGAGTAGGACTACGTCAGGCTACAGGTTTACTAGTGGTTCCTAGAATTTCTAAAAATAGAATGGGAGGCAGATCTTTTAGTTATCAGGCTCCTCTCCTGTGGAACCAACTACCAGTTTTTGTCCGTGAGGCAGACACCCTGTCTACTTTTAAGGCTTTCCTTTTTGATAAAGCTTATAGTTAGGGTGGCTTAGGTTATCCTGAGCTATCTCTATAGTTATGCTGCTATATGCTTAGACTGCTGGAGGACATAGGGCCCCTCATTTCATCATTCTGCTTCATTCTCTCTCTGTTCTCCTATTCTGCAGAATCTGTTAGTTCAATCTCTAACCTTCTGCTCTCTCTGCTTTTCCTCAGAGTAGCTTTGCCTCGCCTGTTCCTGTTTGGCTGTGGCGCCATCCTGGAAAGAAACATCAGCTGTGCTGCTTCCATCAACACCCTTGTTTATAGATGTTGGAGATCGGCCTGTTTTCCAGTGTGGTCCTGTGACTGGGTGGATGTGCTCTCTTCATCCTCTGACATGGGAGCTGACTCGGAGCTCGTCTGCCTGGCTGTGTGTTTCCTGGACGGGGCCGCCTTTTACAGCTTCTTTTTGTATCTCTGCTTCTGTCTCCTTGAACCCCAGTCGGCCTCGGCAGATGGCCGCTCACACTGAGCCTGGTTCTGCTGGAGGTTTCGTCCTGTTAAAAGGGAGTTTTTCCTCTCCACTGTCGCTACAAGCATGCTTAGTGCGAGGGATTGTATTTGAGTCAATGAGTCGATGCAATCAACTGGTTTTCCTTAGATAGAAAACTTTGTATCAATTTGACTGTATGATCTGGTTGAACTGTAAAGTGCCTTGAGATGACATGTGTTGTGAATTTGGCGCTATATAAATAAACTGAATTGAAAATTGAAAAATTAATTGTTAAGTAAACTTTACGCAGGACAGGCCAGAAGTGGAGTTTTTCCAATCAATAGCAAAAAAAAAAGAATTTATTTTAAAAATAATACAATTTAATAAAAATGCTTAACTTTATATACAAATAAACATAGAGTGAATTAATCAGATGTATGTTGGGGGGTTGCCAGTCTGTAGTGTTGCTATTTTTGGGGTCACAAGCTAAAATGGTTTGGAAGTAATTGAAATAGGCTGAGATGTTTGTCAGAATTAGGGAAAAAGAATTAAAGATGAGTTAAGAAAAAGAGACTCCGCTCTGTGATTGTAATTAAAGGCCAGACTCTGGGATCTGACATCACAGATCCTTAACAATAGATTTCACACTAAGCCAAAGCAGGAAGCTGGACGTCGACTCAATAAGTCAAACCAGGTTTTCTGGCTCTGGGTTTATGTGAAACTAAAGTGTTTGTCAGAGATAATGAATAAACATCAGGAAAGATTGTTAAAGATTAAAATGAATAAAATATAAGTTATAATAGTGAGTAAAATCTAGTAAAAAAAGACTGGCTTTAAAAAAACACACAGATTATCTAATCGTTAGCCTAACCACCTCTTCAATGCATGTTTTGTCATAATTCTAATCTGGAAAAAAAAACATTGTTGCTAATTAATCTGGATACAGATATAAAACCCTTTTTACCATCTAATATATTGAGTTTATTATTCTGTAGAAAATAGAAGATTCAATAAGAAACATTCAGTGTCATTTAAATTGTATGGAGAGAATTTTGGTCCCTTATTGTTGCAAAGATCATATTTAATTAATGGAAATACTAAAAACAAAATGCAATCCAGAAACTAAAAATGTTTTAATCAAAAAAAAGTTTGGATTTCAACTTTAAACTTTCACATCAATCTCAATACAAACACTACAAAATGCTGTTGCTAACGTCCATGCTAACCAGCAGAAAATGTGCTTTGGTCCTCACTCCAGAGGAAGTGAAGAGAATTAGATCTGAAAAATGTAATTAATAATTAAAGGGGGAAAAAAAATATTAATCAGAAATCTTTACAAAATTTGAATGAATAAAATTTGACATTTTTACACTGAAAATCTTTTTTGGATTTGAAAAAAAAAAAAATATTTGTGGATTGGAATTTTTTCAAATTTCCATTTACTCTGTAAAGACATCCCAGCAGATTCCCCCAAAGGTGAGAAAAAAAAGACAATATGTAAAAAAAAGAAAAAAAAAAAAAAGGGCTTGTGAAAAAAATGGGCCTGTGAAGCTGCACATTAATAAACTAAAAACTGTACATGAATGTCTTTAAAAAATGTGTTTCCATAACACTAGCATAGAAGTCATTTAAAGGTCCTTTAACCTGCTTGATCATTTAATGCCTCTAGAAGCACCTGGGTACTGATTTGTTATGAAATATATATATTTTTTTATTTTTCCTGCTAAGAAGAAAACATGCCTTAAAAGCGAAGCGGCCCCCGCCCCTGGGTGCCACCTGTTTCACAGCTTCTGAAGGCTGAACATTCAAAGACGTCTCACAGAAAAGAAAACACAGATTTTCTTGACTTTAATCAGCTAAAACAGATTAGCGGCTATAAGCGCTACATCATGGCGCTCTGACTCATATCTCCGATCCCTGATCGGGGAGAGGTGACTGTTTACATTGCTGGCACATTGCAGTTATATGCTTCCTTTATGGGCCATTCTTATGCAGTTATTCTCATATTGCTCGTTTTAACAGGATAGGGAGGGGCTGCTGCTCAAACAGCAGGAACCCTCAGAGAAGCAATTGAAAAAACACTTTTTGGCATAAAATTGTAAAGGAATAAGATCATAACAGTTAAAAGCTCAAAAATTTTGACTTTGCATGATGAAAGGCCCTTGAAGCTTATTATCTCTGGAGAATCAGTGCCTCTGCAGCCATTGACTGAAACATAATCTTCAAAATAAACTAGAGCTGCAGCTACAGATGTACCAATCAGATATCTGTGATTTCAGATATCAGAGATCCAATCCAGAGCATTTTACATAGAGCTGCTACTTATTTCTTTTTGCTGCTTATTTGTTAATAGATAATATAAAATACATTTATATCAGTGTTCATTTTTTACCTTTAATTTAACAATGTTTGTGTTCAGACTAAGTCCTTCACCCACATGGAAGCATGCAGCTTCATTCATTCAGATCGAAAAGAACTGGATCGGTGCATCAGTAGCTGCAGGTATCGGTTCTTGGTACTCAGTTAATCTAGCCATAATTTTTGATTAGAAAATACTCTCAGTAAATAAACATTTCTTCATAAATAATATGTATATGCATATATACATGTATATATATCTATATATGTAGATATATATATATATATATATATATGACCTGTTTCTTCCACTATTCTAGAAAATTATTTATTACCAGATTAGTTCATGGTTATTTTAATAATAACTTAATCTTGATTAACGTGAATCGTCAAATTTTCCTTAAACAGCTATACACCTGAGGAAAAAAATCCAGGTAATATATCATTGGACCTAATTGATGGGTTTGTTATGAACTACATGGTTTTTATTTGGTCTTTCTAAATTAAAAAGAAGCAGGAAATGTCTGTTTCTTTCTTTCTGTTGCTTGTGAGTAACATCTTATAAACATTTCATTTCTGCCAACGTCTCTAATTCCAGTCCGCAGGGACTCACCTTCCCATAAGAGAAGGCTGAAACATGCCTGTTTTTTTGCCTCTTTCTTCCTTTATAAGCTTCTTCCTAAAGTTTCCGTCCAATCCTGCCGCCCTAATTCACACTTTTATCTTTCCCTTTCCTCAGTCAGACCGTTATCTTTATAAAATACATAAAGGAAAACCTGCCAGACTTACCATTGGCCTCTGTGTCTGAGCCAGATGACCTGCTCTGACGCAAAGGGTACTTTTTGCCTTTGGGGTTTGCTGCCCCCTGCTGGCTGCGTGTGATCCTGCGTCCAGAGGAGAAGACTGAAGCAGCCACCGGAGCTGCAGCCGATTCTGCTGCTGAATCTGGGCCTTCATCGTGAGCCGCAGCAGCCGGTGAGCCGCTGCGTATCAATCTGCTGTTCTCTGAAGGGAAAAAGGACAGGACGCTTTTCATTAAAAAAAAGAAAAATAAAGCTGATTCACCTTTATTTTAAAGCTTCCATTCAGCTTTTGCTGTTTTATGCAACATTATAGGACATATTCTAAATAAATATATTATCAGCTGCTCTTTTCCTAACGAGAGGCAGGTTTTTTGCTGCTCTATGTGTTGTGAGTCTCTTCTGAAAAACAAAGGAGAGCGATCGCACAGGGTTCAGATATTGTCATTCTTGTTGTTAATAGTAGAGATAAACTTTAATATTTTTTAAAATCTGTTGGATGATTCCCTTGAAACAACTTCTTAAGCCTAAATGACATGTTTTGATAAAAGTACCTGTAGTCAGAGTTTGACGTCCAAGAAAAATAACACTTTCTTAAACTGAACTGTAAAACTACTTTCCTGTATTAAATGTTTGATGGTTTTCCTTAAAATAATTTCAGATTAAAAGTCGAAGTTCTAACAAAGTACCCGATGTAATACAAAATGGAAGAACTAATAAGAATAAGAATATTTTAATTATTTTAAAGTAAATTAGAAACTATTTCCTCAATTTTCTTCAGAATCGCAGCCATTTAATTCTAAGGATACTTTTTAAACTAGAAAAGTTTTCATTTATTCAAGAAAATGATGTCAAAGAAGTTCAGTTCTAAGGTTTCCAAAGGTTTACTCCACATCATGCCTGCAAAGCATCATCTGTCTCAGAGATTTTTAATGGAGCCTTATCATTTTGAAGAATTATGAAAGTAATTTTATGACTTTCAATTAATTACATACATTTTTTAATCTCCATCACTAATACAATCAACTGAAAAAGGTAAAACATGCCTAAAAGTAAATTGCTGATAATTTAAAGGAAAGATTTAAATTTTTTTTTTTTTTGTCAAATGTTTTGCATTGAAATTTTACACGTTTTACATTAAAGTAAAAGATAAGGAGTGAGAAAATGAGTTTTTAAAAATCTTACTTTCCAAATAAAATATACAATCATGGAATAACATGATGGGTTTTTCAAAGTTTCTGATAGAAGTAAATTAAACTTTTTTTTTCTTTAACTATTCCAACAGTCGGACAAATGAGGGAAGATGGAAGAAATCAAAGGATTCAACCACTGATCTGTTTAAAAACATTCAGAAAGCTTTCTGTGGTGGACAGAGCTTTACCTTGTGAGCTCTGGCTGAGGCGCAGCGATGCACGAGTCAGACGAGTGCTGCTGCGTCTGCGCGCTCTCTCTGCGGCTTCCACGTGTTCGTGGTCGGTGGAGAAATCAGAGTCCTCCGTTCCTTCCGAGCTGCTGCCTGCCGTTCTCTGAGAACGCAACAACAGCCGTCAGCAAATCATCGAATAGATTCTGTGCTGATGAGAATAAATGCATATATAGCAGAGATTTCCCCCCTTTTCTCCTCTTTTCTTTGAATTCATCAGAAAAACATTTCGCCCCATTTCCATTAATCAGCTTTAATAATTCGTCAATAAATCCTCAGACTTATTAAACACTGAATACACTTTTTTATTTTTAAAATTGTTATTTACGAAACATGATCTTTATTTGCAACAATAATGGAACAAAATTAACTCCACATTTGAAGTTAAAATATGTTGAGAGTCAAGTTATTTCACACTTTGTTTGCTACATGTGTTTATTTACAGTTCTGATGCCGTCTGTGAGAATCTATAATGAACAATTGACTGCTCTTGTATTTTGATCGATAAATAAATGCGTATTTACCGAAGTTTTTTCTGAACTGTCAACAACTGTTGTTAAAATGATCTGTATTTATTCACTGCATTGCTGATAGCCCCAACAAAGTGAAGCCACCGGCAGCCATATTGGTAGCCCCCACAGAGATGTGCAGTAAAAATGTCTCTGTGCCGTCGCTCATGGCTCCTGGGGGCCAAAGCCCTATGCTCTTGGGGGGCTCTGTTGTGGGGCTTTCTTTGTGACCCTCGGGGTGGGGGCTGGTTGTCTCCATGGTGATCTTCCTGGTGTCTGTGCTCCGGGATGGTCACTGATGAGCTGGTTCCTAGGTCTTCTCTGCCCCCTCCAGATTGCTGGAGCTGGGCTGGTGGCGGAGCCCCCGAAGCGCGTCTGTTTGCAGGAGCTCCTACAGCTTCTCTGCAGTGTTTTTGATGCTTGTTTTGGTTGCGTGTGACTCTTCTACAGGTTTTTTCCTCGGGTTTGCAGACATTTTTCGTCTTCTACAGATACAGCAGTTGATTATGTTTTTTTTTTGTCTTCTATTTTTTCTTTTTCTTCCCCTGTCCAACTGTCATCTTTGCCATTACTTATCTTACTTCTGTAATAAATCTTAAATAAAAAAAATATAAATAAAAAAAATGCCTACCTATGTAGCATTAGAAAGCTAAAACAAGCAGTTTGCAGCTGTGGGAAGTCATTTCACAGGTAATCTCAGTCAGTGGACTCTATAAATCCATATATATGACAATGTATCCAATAGTATAGTATGTAGCGTAACAGTAGTCTGTCTATCCCAGACTGACTGGAAGACATTGACTGAGTTAGCCATGGACATTTTGTCTAACATTAGATAATAGCAAGAAAATACAAAGCAATTTACTGTGAAATGTCAATGTAATTCTTTATTAAGTGGATGTCGCTGTAGTTTTTTTTTTGCATTTCTCATTAGAAAAAGTCATGTGCTGAAATACATTGGATGTTATATCAACGGGAAAAAAAAGCAACTCAAACATTTTTAAAGGCTATTGTACAGACACGGCATAAAATCACATGGCATCATTCATGCACAATTTGCAAAGAGGAGAATACTATAACATTAACAGACATTTACCTGTAATTCAGTCTTGATGTGAAATCTTAAAATAATATGTAACATATTATGTGTACATCATCAATTTAGCACTGTTAACACATCTTTATTATTATGCTACATTAACACATTCATTTTGCTGTATAATATGTTATATTACATGATTTAGAGACTTCATAATGACTATGCAATGTGATGTGCCTATTTTTTTTATTATAAATTAATCTACTTATGCTATGAAACAGCATCAAACACATCATTGTTCGATGCTGTGCCGCACATATTGTTTACATTGCGACCGGTCTAACTAAGGAGCACCAATATGGTGGCCGGTGGCTTCACTTCAATCCCGTACTACCAACGGGCAATCAGTGATCCAGTAAAAATAAATAGAGATCAGTGGGACAAGCCTGCAGCGACGCTACCTGATGTAGATCTTAATAAATAGATGCAGTGAATGATGCAGCATAGATAAATAACTCAACAAGTAGACTTTTAAATATTTAACATTTACATACAAAAAGCCACCAAAGTTAATGCAGGGAAAATGAACGGATATCCTGATCTCATGCATACGGAAGATGATTAGGGCCACTGAAAAAAAAAAAAAAAGGTAAATGATTCTATTTCAGTTTAATATAGGAAAAAAAAATTAGAATTCTGACTTTAATCTCAGAATGTTGGATCTTAATGTAGATGGGCACTATTAAAGGTAGAGATGTGGGAGCACTCAGCTTCACTGACAAAGATGTGAGTTGTTTGGGAGGGCCAGAAAACAAAAAGTCAGAATTCTGAGATTAATGTCTGACTTAAATCTCAGAATTATGATTTTTTTTTTATACTGAAATAAAATGTAAAAATCAGTTAACATTTTTTCTTTTTTTTCAGTGGCCCTAATCCTCTTCCATACATGCGGTATTTGCGGATGTACAAGATCTTTTGAACACCCTTCTTTCCTTAGACAAAGGAGCCTGTAGCTGTACATTCGCAGTATGAGAAAACAAAAAACTTTTTGCTTGTCTTTTTTTATCCCATTCTTCAGTTTTTTTTATTTTTATTTTATTTTCCCTTATAAGTTAGACTTTTTTTTTTTGCTTTCATTGTCAATTAAGTTCGGGTCCAGACGTTTGATTCCGATCAGACAGCTGCATCCTGAGGGAAACATGGAAAGCTGCTTTGGCAGCGTGGCCACACATTGACAACTTCATAACAAGAGGGGCGTGCACAGTATTTGCATTCCACCAATCAAATTAGAGAAAAGGCGGGTTTGAAACAAGATGAACCAATGAGCAGAGCCGCAGTTCAAATTCTGTCCAATCAGAGCGTTGTTTTGGTATACAGCGATCTAGCCTGTGGAACCAAAAAAAACAATCCGTTTGCTAGTGACCGTTACCGCCATTAAACTTCAGTCCCCCCAAACACACGATGGGTTGGCGGAAGATCCCATACAAGCCAGTATTCAGAGCGATAAAACGTTTAAGAAACATTAATAATACGTCGCAATTTAGCTATAAATATGAGCTAGCGTTTCGCTTTTAGCACCAACACAACCTGGGCATTTAGTACAGTTAATTACTTAAAACACACTCAGGCAGTTATTTACATCTGTGATAAATACATTTCAGGCCCTCACAGCTGTTCTTCTAGTCGCAGTTTCATTTGAAGGCTAACATTAGCCATGACGTGATGCTGCTCTGCCTTAATGGCTGCCTCACCTTTCTCCGGGGCATGACTGAGCTGCACAAACACGGCGTCCTTTATGACGAGGAGAATATTAAAGCTTCCATACAGCTTAAAACAGAGAAAATAAACCTTAGTCTAACATGGACCAACTCGGCTGAAAGAAGGGCACAAATATCCCCTCCCTCCATCCGCACTTCCTAGTGAATGCGGATCAAGTTCGGTACCTTGGCAAAATAGCTCCGCCACACGATGAGTTCCCCTAAACTTCAAATAGTGAACAGGTTTTCTAAAAAATATGGTAAAAATTCATGAATCAACAGTAATTAAAAAGAGAATTACCACTCTCTCTCTCTGTCTCTCTCTCTCTATAAATATATATGTGTATATATATATGCAGTATATGTATATATAGTTAGTATATGTTTATTTAAGCAGTTTATTTAAGCAGTACATAAATAAACACAAAATAATATTTTTCTCTTATATATATACATATATACATGTATATATACATATATATTCATGTATATATACGTATATATACATGCATAAATATACATATATACATGTGTATATACAGTATATGTATTATATATGTTTATTTAAGCAGTTTTTTTAAGCAGTACATTTAAAACCAAAAATAATATTTTTCTCTTATATGTACATATATACATGTATAAATATACATATATACATGTATATATGTATGTATTTTTTGGTTATTTATGTACTGAGCCTTTTATTTGAGTAAATTTTACTCATTTAGACGATATTAATTGTATTTACTTATATATATATATATATATATATATATATATATATATATATATATATATATATATATATATATATATATATATATATATATATATATATATATATATATATATATATATATTGATATATATATAATTGGACTAATATGAATCGATTCTAATCGATTCATCCCGATTCATTTGCGATTGGTAATCAAATAAACATTAACTGGAGTACAGTGACTAAAAAAAAATGTATATATATATATATATATATATATATATATATATATATATATATATACAAATTTTGCATTTAAGATAAAGATAATGTTTTTATTTGTCAACATGCTCTATCCAGAAGTGGAAAAGTAGGACATATTTGAATGTGGCACATGGCTCTAGACCGGAAGTAAGTAGAGGTGGCCCCTCTCGTGCTGAATTTCCAGGTTGAATCATTAACCCAGTAGGGGGGGCTTTCTGGGTTGTTAGCGGTAGATGTAGAGCTGCTGGTCAGTGGTCTAACTTCTGAGTTTATATCCCATATTTTAAGTTAAACCCAAACAAAGGCGGCCCACAGGATCACTTCCACTCTGAGCCCTAATTGTTATGGCTGATAGCAATAAGAAGGTGTTCGACATTTTCCAAAGTATGGAGGAAGGACCATCCGCCGCCAGCAGCGCTGCCAGCGCTCAGGTAAGGTTCATCAGTCGCTGACATCAGGATTTATCTGGAATTCTTCGGGTTCAGAAAAACAGGTTTACAGCTCAGTTCTCCCCCACGTGGATTAGTTTAACTGCTGTAACATGTGACCCACTGTACATGACTGCTGGGTGATCTGGAGACAAAACACCAGGCCTCATTTATTATGTTGAAAGATAATATTTGGTTTTAATAAAATGACTAAAGTGATAGAAACTGTTGATGTTTAGCAGGGATAAAGAGGCAGCTTGGTCTTCATTAGTTCAGTCCTGCTGGTTGTGATCTAATCTTTTTTTCATAAATACAATATATCGGTATTTATACTAATTATCCCAAAGTTGCACACCTTTTTTAAACTTAAAAGGAAACTATAAGTGCTTATTTTGGTCATTTAAAAAAATCCTAAACTTATTGGCTACATTTTAACTCTAAAACTTGAGATCATGTCATCTCACTTTACCCAGAGTGATGCAAGGAAGTGGCAGTAGCATACTGTGGGATGTGATGGATGAAGATGATTACAGCCTTTAAGCAGAGTTGCAGGGGAACACGCTCAGCTTCCTTCTCTCCTGCCCTCAGTCAGAGACTCGTCATCCGTCTTTGACCCAAAGCTTCGCTGTCAGACCTCATATGATTCATCCTCTTTCTCGGTGACGATAGGTCTGTTCCTCTGACATCCCACAGCATGAAGTTCCTAGAGAGACTTCTGTTGGTTCCCCTCAGCAAACAAACAAGCAGCTATCAGGACCCCCTGCAGCTTGCTGATCGCCGTGGAGTTCTATGATGCCGTCATACACCTGCTTCAACAAACCTACCATCATTTAGACAAGGCAGCTAGCACTGTGAGGATCATGTTCTTTGATTTCTCCACTGCATTTAACACAATTCACTCTGTGAGAAACCTCAGAAGACTCAAACGGAAGCATCAACAACCTGGGTCAAAGACTACCTGACAAACGAGCCACAATCTGTTAGACTGAAGGCTCAGCTGTCTGATCAAGCAGTCAGCAGCACAGGAGCACCACAGGGGACGGTCCTCTCCCCATTGCTTTTTACTCTGTTCATGTCTGACTTCCAGTACCAGGCAGAGTCCTGTTACCTGCTGAAATACATCGGATGCCTCTGCAGTTATCATGTAATGATGGAGAAGAAGCTGAGTACAGAGAGCTGGTGAACCGCTTTGTGGCATAGTGTGGAAACGATCATCTGCTCCTTAAGGTCAACAAAACAAGGTAGATGACCGTAGATTTCAGAAGAAACAGGAACAAGTTGAATCCTTTAAACATCAAGGGAGAAGAAGTGGAGGTGGTGGAGGAGTAGAAATACGTTGGTGTTCACCTGGACAACAGACCACACTGTGAAGCCGTCTACCAAGAAAGGATGGACCAGCTTGTACTTTATAAAGGAGCTTAGTTCACTCAGCGTTTGCAGCCTGATGCTACATTTATTCTATCAGTCTGTTGAGGAGAGTTGATCTCTTCTGCTGTCCTCAGCTGGGGTAGCAATATTAGAGCTAATGACTTAAAAAAGCTCAATAAGCTAATAAAGAAGCTCTGTTCTAGGAAAACCTTCATAAAGTAAAGGAAACTAATAATAATACATAATTGAACTTTATTGATCTCACGTTTGACAAATGTACCTCTGCATTAACCCACCCCCCGGGGGAGCAGTGGGCTGCCACTGTGTGGCGCCTTAAAGGGATAGTTCGGTATTTTTGACATGAATCTGTATGGCATCCCGATCACCAGTGTCATGCAATCACACTGACTTACCCCTGGCAGCGTCCTGTGAGCAGAGTTCTCGTCCAGTTTTGGTCAAGCCAAAAGTAGTCCGGCAGGTTTGCTAGACCCAGCGAAATAAAACGTTTCTCTTCCCAAAACATTATGTGTTCAAAAGAGCGATATTTTTGCATCCCAAAAACGTTGTAGTGGAAAAAGTCACACGTCGTTATCACTTGGTCCTATTTTCTCTCTGTTCGTATCAGTGCGCGCCGTCATTCAGACAGCTAGGGCCTACTAACCTGACAACAGCCAGATGCATGTCTCCCTCCGCCCAGCTAGGAGCTAGGCGGAGGGAGACATGCATCTGGCTGTTGTTGAGCTCGCTGTCTGAATGACGGCGCGCACTGATACGAACAGAGAGAAAATAGGACCAAGTGATAACGACGTGTGACTTTTTCCACTACAATGTTTTTGGGATGCAAAAATATCACTCTTTTGAACACATAATGTTTTGGGAAGAGAAACGTTTTATTTCGCTGGGTCTAGCAAACCTGCCGGACTACTTTCGGCTTGACCAAAACTGGACGAGAACTCTGCTCACAGGACGCTGCCAGGGGTAAGTCAGTGTGATTGCATGACACTGGTGATCGGGATGCCATACAGATTCATGTCAAAAATACCGAACTATCCCTTTAAGAGCAGTGTGGAGGTTAAGGGTCTTAAGGCTGTGGAGATCGAACCGGATACTTGCAACCTTCTCAAAGTACAAGTGATGCACTGATCTAACCATTAGACCAGAGGTCTTCAACAGGGGGTCCGCGACCCCTAGGGGGTCCGCGCAGGTACTGCATGGGGGTCGCGAAAGTCTTGGTTGATTACTTTTTTTTATATTCCCTCCTGCAATTTTTTGCACTAATTAAAATGTCTTTAAATCCACATTAACATGAATTCAACAGACTGTAGTAAACAGATAAATGGAGGCAGTAGATGTCTTTCAGTCATCAATGCACACATTCAGCGACACACAGGAGCTCTTTCAAACTGGGCACCGTTTCATTTACAACACCTGTCCCATCAACCAGGAATCAGATTCAGAAATACTTTAATATTCCCAGAGAGGGATTACTTTCGTTACATGACTCCACATGTAATAGAGTGACTATAGGACCAGTTTGATTTAACACAATTTCATACAATATATATAATTAGGGGGTCCCCGCTCCATCTCGCAATCATTTTGGGGGTCCTTGGCCTCGAAAACGTTGAAGACCCCTGCATTAGACCAACACTTCCCTCCACTTAAGCCAAGCTTACACTATGCAATATTTTTTTTTTTCCGTTTTCGGGCCGACTTTCCAGTTATAGGAGCGTTTTTCGATAGGCCTGACTTTCAGCCTGATGGTGCGTCGTGTACAGGGGGCGTAACGTGGGGAAATCAGCCTCTCACGACCACCGCCCATCAGGAATCGTGAGGTCGGGAGGAAATCAAACATGTTTGATTTTCTGTCGACCGTCGTGGGCAAATGCTCAATGGGCAAACAAAAGATTCTTCTTTTTCCTCTTAGACGAAAATGTCCAAATTTGTCTCCGCCTTTTCTTTTTAAGGCTTTTAGCACAAAATGAGCTTGAAGTGAGCTTGATAATCCTCTTCTACTGGTTTGGCTTCCGGATAGACGAGTCCGAGTAGCGCCATCTCACTGCAGAGCTCAGTCCGACGTAGTTTTTAGACGTACAGTGTGAGCAGATAGATCGCATCAGAGCATCGGGTCGCACAGGTTGAGAACAAACATCGTGAGCCTTGAACTCTTAAAAAAAACGCACAGTATATGCCCTGGTTTATGGATAACCGTGAGCATCCTCTTCATCAGACTGTTGACTTCAGTCAGAAGCTTCTCCGGATTAGCAGTAAGACAGACCACTACAGGAGAGCCTTCCTCCACCAGCATCAACACCTGCAGCAACAATCCTTAATATGAGTTAAATTTTTTTCTTTGAGATCAATCGAGTAATTTTGAATTGAAGTTATTTCCTAAAAAGTGAATCATACATAAAAACCAACAGGTTCTACCAGTTTTATTGCAAGGAGAACTGAAAGTGAAGAACCAACAGTTCTCAACTTTAACCGTTGTTTGCATATTTTTTATCATTTGGAAAGAACACAGAAAAAATATCTAAAAAAAAGTGCTGCTGAATGTGGAGCTCTGGACTTTGCTCTGACGTCTGTCAATAATTGTTACGTCTGTACAGCCTGACCTGTTCCTGTTAAACTCTGAGTGTTTCTCATTTCCATGGGTGCAAACGTTCGACTGGAAATGATGATGATGATGATGATGATGATGATGAGGTGGAAAACAAAGTAGATTCTTTTTTTTCTTCATCTCCTTCTGAAATCAACCTTTGATGTACCTTCATCCGTTCAGATTAGGGATGAAAATAATCCCAGAATAGTGTTACTCAGGCAGTTATTTAGCTTCAGGCATGTAGCCTTTAGCTAGAAGTGATTGAGCTGTTCTCTAACAGAAGAGGATTGATATCTGATCCAGTTTGTCCTGTCAGCTGTTTGGTACAGTGTAGGATGTATGATGATGTGGTTCCAGGGTTTCCGCAGGTCATTAAAAATCATTGAAAGTCATTCAATAATATTTTTTTCAAATCAAGGCCTTAATTTGCATTAAAATTAATTAAATGTGATTATAAAAGATTGTAAAAGTGGTTTCGTCAGATATATTATATATATTTTCGCAGAAATGCTTCTGGTTGATCATAAAACCGTATGTTTGGAAAAGAAGCTCAAGACAGAGAAAAGCTGCTATATATATATATATATATATATATATATATATATATATATATATATATATATGAGCATCTTGGGTACTTGTTTATGGCATAAAAATTATATCTAAGAGCATTAACAGGCATTAAACTAGAGTTACTCATTCCTGTATAAACCTTGGGTTCTGTCCTGTTTCCAAAGAGCATATTTTGCTGCATCATCTCCAGCTGTCTACGGGCGAGAGGCGGGGTGAACCCTGGACAGGTCGCCAGTCCATCCCAGGGCTTATACAAGAATTGTACAAAATAAATAAATAAAAATGTTGCATTTAAGATTAAAAACATATTTCATATATGCTCTATCCAGAACCCAACAAGTGGAAAAGTTTTAGTTTCCTCTGGTTTAACTCTGTAAAAAATAACCTTTTACTATGTGATTTATTAATCAATAAAAAAAATAATCAGCAGATTAATTAATTAGCAAAACACTTGTTAGTTGCGGCCCTATGAAATACATTCAGGCCTGTTTCTCAGGAAGACTGGCTGCTGTTTTATGGTTGTTGATGCGTGATGCTTTGATTGTCTCCTCTGATTTCTTCCTGTTCCTCTTCTCCATCAGGCGTGGCTAGATCATCATTCCCGTTCCCTGGGTTTATTCATGGATGGGAAGTTTGTCCGCCCAGCAGGAAGGCAGAATATCTCCCTGTCTGATTCCAAAGGTGAGCGCTGCTTCTCTGCTAACTGATTGTTCTACATAAGAAACATTTAGATCCACAAACACATCAGTCTAACCCAGAGGTTCCCAAACTTTAGAGCTTCTGACTCAGGATGCAAGTTATCTGTTAACGTGGAGGGGGTCCATGGAGGTACTGCATCAACCAAAAAGTTTTGGTTGATTAGAGTTTTTTTTTTTTATATATATTTCCCCTGCAATTGTTTCCACTAATTGAAATGTCTTTAAATCCACATTAACATGATTTCAACACACTGTAGTAAACAGATCAATGGAGGCTGAAGATGTCTTTCAGTCGTCAATGCCAGTGGCGGTTCTAGACCAAATGTACCAGGGGGCCAGGAGGGGGCCAGCGTGTTTTCATGAGGGCACAGAAATGCATGAAATTTTATTTTAAATACATATTACAATGTACTCTTTCATTGGGTAAAGATGTTATTAAATTCAATAATTACTTTTTGTTTTCTTAACCAGTTTGAAATGATTATTTCCTATCCAAGCACAACTGATTTTGTAGGCAATGGGCCAACATATAATCATTACATTCATTTAAAATAACCTTATTTATGTGCAAATGACCCCCTGATTATAACCTTTATTCTTTTTATTTATAAAAAAGTTATTTATTTCCAATATAATTGACACTTAGGGGGACATGTTTTTGCCAAAGTTTCAAGAATCAGTGATCAATTAAATGGATGGAAAAAAAAATATTAATGCAAGAAATCATTAATTGACAACTAACCATAATTTTTAATTTGTTTTTATTCCTGCTTCTTTTAAAATATCTACCAAATAAACTAACCAGAGGTCTAATAATAGAACAAACAGCATCAGCAACCAAATCTTTTCTTTTTCTATTTTTTTAGGGATCATTTCATATCTTTAAGCACTTTAATTCGAAAAGTTTATTGTTAATTTCAATTTTTGTAGTGGATCTCAAGGCCCCATGCTAGCTGATGAACGACCCTTAGTGGGGTCATGACCCCAGTGGGGGTCGGAGGGTTGGTTTTCACAATGATTCCTAAAGCATATGGATGGCCGACATTTATCAGGAAATAAATAAACCTGAATATCTCAATAAAAATTAACCATACAACAAAATAATTACATATGTTTTTTTATGTATTAATGATTAATTACAATATAAGGGAATAAAATATTATATGTTGTTTAAGAAAATGTAAAAACAAATGTAAAAACAAATGTAATGACTCCACTTTGAATGTAAAAAATAAACCTACACTGCCGTAATTAGGTGATGATGTATTTTTAGGTCTGTTCACAGGTCTGTTGCTTTGCTGTTTTTCAGCAATTAGAGTCTGAAGTGTTTGGGAATTCAATTCAGTTTATTTCTATAGCGCCAAGTCACAACATAAACAAAATATATCTTTTTTTCTTTTCCCCGCTCCATTTACATAATTAAATTTACAATATAATATGTTACACAATTTTAACAAAACCAAAACATTTAATAAAAAATCAGAATGAAATTTAGAATGGATAGAAAATGGAATGATTGGTGCGCTTCATACCATCTTTCCTATTTGTCCTCATTTTTCCAGGAGCTAAGCTGTGCAGCATCGTCTGCGCCGAAGACGAAGATATTTCCCAATGTGCTTCCTCTGCTGCCAGCGGCTACACGTCGTGGAGCGGCCTGACGTGTTCCCAGAGATCCAAAGTGTTGCTCAGGTTGGGCTAGTTTACCTTCCAGCTCTCCTGGAGCCGCCCTGCGGCCTTTAGGTTCAGTCATTCACCTGGATGCTTTCCGTCCACCTTCACCAGGCTGGTAGGTGTCCTGGGGCTGCATGGTCAGTGTTTGTCAGAGCTGTGCGCTCTGAGCGAGGCGTCCTGCTCGCCCTCAGTCCTGGTCAGACTGCTGCAGTACTACAGCAGCTGGGCTCAGCTCAGAGATACGCTCATCCCCAGCTGGACATCTGTGGGTAAGAAAACAGCAAGCAGGCCTCGCTGGAAAGGGCAGTTTGTTGTGTGTGTGTGAAGTATACTGGGGAAAATTCTCAGTCATCCAGGTCATAGTCAGTGAAAAAGAAGTAAAAAAAAAACACTGGACTTTGTTTCCAAGTTTGAAGGCATTTCGCTTCCCATCCAGGAAGCTTTTTCAATTTAAAATGTTCGAGGCTCTTATACAGTAGCCCAAAAAAGCCTTGTTTTTAGCTTAGAAAACATGCAAATTGAAACGGACGAACGGGTCCACCCTTTTGGAATGGGAGTCACTTGGCTTCTTTTGTTGTTCTTGTGAAGAACACAGGAAAGTCTGGCCTCTGGGAGAACGGGAGCATGCAGCATAAATATGGGTCAGTTGGAACAGAAGCGTACTGATGACATCACCACATGCCGGCTTGTCTGGAGCTGCATTTCACCTGTTATTTATAGTCACTAGATAATAGAAAATTATTACTTTTTTCATTTAGTGGGGGAATAATAATGAACACAGTCAGATAAACACAAATTAAATGAACATTTTGCCAAATAAAACAAAAAAAATCGCCATCAGAGCAAGTGATCCTTTAAAGTATAATATTCTCGCCTCAAAACGTACTTTAATTGAACAACAGCAACAGAAAAGTAAACTTTAACTTAATACTCTGAGCTATGTGAGCGCTCCATTGAAAGCTGCTGCTGCCGCAGTGCATGCTGGGTAAGGGTGTAAATCACATCCATCATGGCGATTCGATTCAGTATCTATTTTCTGACCCAACGATTCGATTATTTTCGATACTCAAGAATACACCACGATACGATTCGGTTCGATTAATTGGTTAATTTTTTTTTTTTACACCTTACGGGCTAAACAATGTTTCAAATTTGAAATAAATCAATGAAAGCTGTAATATCGTTATGCATTTTTTTTGAGAAACAACAGCAGATAACAGAAGTAGAAAAGTTGCATAAAAAAATACTCCACATAATCAGTGCAATGCAATACAATCGGCTCCAGACGTCACCACCCCCTTGAGAGACGCTCCGCTGCTCCTACACCAGATTGTAGCTGACCGCAGACAGTGCCGCAGACAGGAGGCCGGCTTGTTTTGTTTTTATGACCGAAATTGTGGAAAACAACTCGTGAAGTTTGACGCACTAGAAGAGCGAGATGCGCGAGAACGCTGGGACCATTTTTCCACCTGGATCTCCGCTCTTTTTGGTCCTCATGTCTCTCCGTCGTCGGACTAAACTCACCCCCACTTCCTCGGCCGTATCTAGACCCACAGTGTGTAGCACAGACCACGCTTCAATATGGAGCATAATTTAAAAAAGTCTGTGGCAAGCTCACTGCAACACACTGCTGTAAGAGTATAACCAGGAAGCACGGTAGGAGGGCAAAATAGGTTTAGCGGCACCGCAGCACAGGAGGGAGAATTACACCCAGGAGAAAATGGATAAAAATAGACCGGAGGAAAAAAAAAACATGAATCGATTCTCTTGCAGGCGTGTCGATGCATCGGATCGTCGGCTGTTGGATCGATGCATCGATACAAAACGATTATTATTTACACCCCTAATACTGGGACAGCTGTCAATTTCAAAAATGGACAAGTCTGCTGTGATGCATGCTGGGTAAATGAGGAGGGATGAGAACAACATCAGGGGACTTTGTCCTTTCTTGGTCTGCTGTTCATGTGAATTGGAACAGTACCAGGGCTGAGGATGATAATGTTTCATGAGCACATGAGAACGCACAAGTTCACATATTGAGAAACGGCACATGTCTATACCTGTCTATAGAAACGCTCGTCAGGTTATATTTGCATGTTTCTAAGCCAAAACAAGGCTTTGGTCCAGTCTATAAAGCTTGGAACTCAACGCTATTCCTGACATTTTCCTGACAGTCTCTGAAAAAGAAACTGATTAGCCAGTCACTTCATTTGGATGGGATTAAACTGATTTCAGATAATAAAGTAAAAAATCTTGGTGTTATTTTTGATCAGGACCTGTCATTTAAATCCCATATCAAAGAGGTTTCTAGAATTTCCTTCTTTCATCTGAGGAACATTGCAAAAATTAGAAATATCCTGTCCAGGGGTGATGCTGAGAAACTAGTCCATGCATTTGTTACTTCAAGGCTGGACTATTGTAATTCTTTACTATCAGGAAGTCCACAAACTGTAGTTAAAAGCCTTCAGCTGATCCAAAATGCTGCAGCCAGAGTTCTAATGAAAATTAAAAAGAGAGATCACATCTCGCCTATCCTGGCTTCTCTTCATTGGCTTCCTGTTAAATCAAGAATAGAATTTAAAATCCTCCTTCTCACATATAAAGCCTTAAATGGCCAAGCTCCATCTTATATCAGAGATCTGATTGTTCCTTATGTTCCTAACAGAGCACTTCGCTCTCAATCTGCAGGTTTACTAATGGTTCCTAGAATTTCTAAAAGTAGAATGGGAGGCAGATCTTTTAGTTATCAGGCTCCTCTCCTGTGGAACCAACTACCAGTTTTATTCTGCGAGGCAGACACCCTGTCTACTTTTAAGGCTAGGCTTAAAACTTTCCTTTTTGATAAAGCTTATAGTTAGAGTGGCTCAGGTTATCCTGAGCTATCTCTATAGTTATGCTGCTATAGGCTTAGACTGCTGGAGGACATAGGGACCCCCATTTCATCATTCTGCTTCATTCTCTCTCTGTTCTCCTATTCTGCAGAATCTGTTAGTTCAATCTCTAACCTTTTGCTCTCTCTGCTTTTCCTCAGAGTAGCTTTGCCTCGTCTGTTCCTGTTTGGCTGTGACGTCATCCTGGAAAGAAACATCAGCTGTGCTGCTTCCATCAACACCCTTGTTTATAGATGTTGGAGATCGGCCTGTTTTCCAGTGTGGTCCTGTTTCTCTGACCGTGACTGAGTGGATGTGCTCTCTTCGTCCTCTGGCATGGGAGCTGCCTTGGAGCTCGTCTGCCTGGCTGTGTGTTTCCTGGACGGGGCCGCCTTTTACAGCTGCTTTTTGTATCTCTGCTTCTGTCTCCTTGAATCCCAGTCGGCCTCGGCAGATGGCCGCTCACACTGAGCCTGGTTCTGCTGGAGGTTTCTTCCTGTTAAAAGGGAGTTTTTCCTCTCCACTGTCGCTACAAGCATGCTTAGTGTGGGGGATTGTATTTGAGTCAATGAGTCAATGCAATCAACTGGTTTTCCTTAGATAGAAAACTTTGTATCAATTTGACTGTATGATCTGGTTGAACTGTAAAGTGCCTTGAGATGACATGTGTTGTGAATTTGGCGCTATAGAAATAAACTGAATTGAATTGAATTGAATTTTGAGTTCAAAAAGCTTCCTGGATGGGAAGCGAAACATCTTCAAACTTGGAAACAAAGTCCAATGGATTGTTTTTTTTTACGTTTTTAAATGCGTGTGTGTGTGTATAGATTTCTGTCATTGTTTTTTTTGTCTTCTAGGTGTTGTGGTAGTCGTCTCTTCTGATGACTGCTCGCTTTACTCCCTGATGCTCAAAGTCCTGCCAGCAGTGGCCATGGGTAAAACACACAGCCATAAACTTTGATGAATTTTACTTTAATAGCATGAATTTAGCACATCATAGAATAGAATAGAATTGAAAATCCCTTTATTCGACCACAATGGGGGAATTCTGGTGTTTAAGGCAGCAAATAGATTATAAATTTGAAAAAAAGTCACACAAATGTGGACCTTAGAAGAGTGTATAAAAGATAACATAATAGTAAAGAGTAAAAAAAAAAATAATACTGAACTGTAAAGTGTTTTAACAATATCAAACTGTGCACCTGGAGAATAATAACTAATACACACCTAAACAGTAATTTGAAAATAGCAGAAACATTAGAGATGATGTGAGTGTTTGTGTTTGGCTTAAAGGGAAGAGGATATGATTCATGTAACAGTTTAGAGTTTAGAGAACTCTGGAAAAATAGAAATTTGAAGAAAAGAAAATCCAACATATTAAACTATAAAAAACGAAAACTAAAATATATGATCAGTTAAAGACAAAAAAAATGTAAACCTGTTTTGGATTAAAATATTTTTTTAAATTTCATTTCTGGGTTCCTTTTAAATTGCCATTTACAAAATATGTTCTTTATTTGCAACAACAATGGAACAAGATTAACTGCATTTACTTTTTTTAAATGTCTGTGCTAACCTTACAGTTTGGTAAAGTTATTCCTACATCTTCCCACAAATAATCCCAGGCATTCCTTTATGCATGGCAGTGGCAGTGTCATGCTGTGAGGATCCTGTTTCAAAACCTAAAATGCTTTGCATTAATCCATCCTATACAATGATAATAAAATAAATAAAAATTTATGTTTATGACTTAAAAACTGTAAAACAAGATGAAGCGGTTTGAACCGTTTTAACATGTTTTTTCCAGGTAACTCTGTGATCGTTGTTCCGGGTCGGAGTGCCGCCCCTCCTGTACTCCTCCTGGCTCAGCTTTTTTCTGGAGCAGGACTTCCTGCTGGGACTCTCAACATTTTAACAGGAAGTGATGTCACACTGGGGGCCAAAGTGTCCCAGAATGCCAGCGTGAGCTACATCACTTACACTGGAAACAAGCAGGTGTGTGTCAGCATGTAGTTAGCATCTAAAATGTTTCTGCCGCTGATCTTTGCACACTCTCCCTCTCAGGATGGGCTGACTCTGTGTAAGGCTGCAGCAGGGACGGGCGTTCCCGTGTCCGTCTCCCAGTGCATCGGCGCCACCTGCCCATTTATCATTTTTGAGTCTGCTGACATCGACAGCGCTGTGGACGAAGTCATACAGATTGCCTTCAAGAAGAAGAAGGAGGTGGAATGGCTGCACCTTTATCTATCCTCAGAGGATCCAACACTTTTTAAAAGTATTCTTCTTCTTCACTCTGCCGTCAGGTCCACTGGGTGCTGTGTGTGCAGGAGAGCGTGGCGGAAAGCCTGGCGGCCCGGCTTAAGCTGCGAATGGCGAGCATGAAGTGTGTTCCTCTGAACAGCGAAGGGGACAGGGTCCTGGTGGATGCTGCAGTAAAGGAGGCCCAGCAGCAGGGGGCCACGGTGAGCTACATTAAAAGGAAACTTTGGGGAAGCCAATTCACAACACATGTCATCTCAAGTCACTTTTCAGTTCAACCCGATCATACAGTTAAACTGATTCAAAGTTTTCTATCTAAGGAAAACCAGTTGATTGCATCGACTCATTGACTTGAATGCAATCCCTCACACTAAGCATGCTTGTAGCGTAGGTGGAGAGGAAAAACTCCCTTTCTTAACAGGAAGAAACCTCCAGCAGAACCAGGCTCAATATGAGCGGCCATCTGCTGAGGCCGACTGGGGTTCAAGGAGACAGAAGCAGAGATACAAAAGGCAGCTGTAAAAGGCGGCCCCATCCAGGAAACACACAGCCAGGCAGACGAGCTCCGAGCCAGCTCCCATGTCAGAGGATAAAGAGAGCACATCCAGTTAGTCACAGTCAGAGAAACAGGACTACACTGGAAAACAGGCCAAACTCCAACATCTATAAACAAGGGTGTTGATGGAAGCAGCACAGCTGATGTTTCTCTCCAGGATGGAGTGAGAGATAGAGACTGAATGAAGCATATTGATGAAATAGGGGTCCCTATGTCCTCCAGCAGTCTAAGCCTATAGCAGCATAACTATAGAGATAGCTCAGGATAACCTGAGCCACTCTAACTATAAGCTTTATCAAAAAGGAAAGTTTTAAGTCTAGCGTTAAAAGTAGACAGGGTGTCTGCCTCACGGACTAAAACTGGTAGTTGGTTCCACAGGAGAGGAGCCTGATAACTAAAAGATCTGCTGAAGCTGCAGATTGAGAGTGAAGTGCCCTGCTAGGAACATAAGGAACAATCATAATATGAATACGTTCATATTTTTGGTGAACGGTTAACTGAACAGATCAGTTTTGAAGTAATGAACGTGAACGAGAGCGACGTTCACTCTGAGAATAATGTGTGACACACACAGCCCAGGTTCAATTTAAGACGACACTTTTCATTGGATAACATCAGGTTTTACCGCACTTATTACACTAGTACTAGTCTGCTGATTCAGACTCATCTTCTGGAATTCTGATCCCAGTTTAGCAGTGTGCTTGGCAGAGTTTTATGAACTAACAAAGTAAGTACTTAACAAACACGTCCGTCACGACCACTTCAAATTTAAAGCGACACATTGATTTAAAGCATCCAAGCTAACTTAGTAAATATCTGCTACTGAATGAGGAACGTAAGAAATCCTTTTTGATGTAGATTTTAATATAGATCAGCAGAACCTTACTATTCCTTTATGTTTCTGAAGTCCTGTGTAATTTGGCTAAATAAAGGCTTCACTTCACATCCAGTATATCTTGACTGCATCCAGTGTTTCCCTTGTCTTTCTATATATTACAGTCACACATCAAAGGGTGAAATATGAGGTTCTATTGTGGATTGTGGCTTAGTTTACCAAATTAACTTGAACTACTTAATTTATAGGTTTGTGTACATTTAATAAATTTTTGAAACAGTGAACTATGAACGTGAGGTAGTTCATTTTCATCTGTGCGAACTTTAAGCTAGTTTTTTTAATTATGAAGTGAGACACCATTGCCTCATATTAGAGGTGGAACGGTTCACAAAATCCACGGTTCGGTTCGGTTCACGGTTTCGTGGTCACGGTTTTCGGTTTGGTTCGATATATGTTGATTGTTAGCATGACATGTTGGTCATGTTGCTGTTAGCATAAACAAAACGTGTTGCACAATGCTTGCACACTGTTGCACTTTTATCAACAACTTTCTTTCCGCCGTCATCGTAGGTCACTCTAAATGCAAAGTGGTCCCATACAGCAGACCTATAAAGTGCTGCTGGCGCGTCTTCCAACTCCTGTTCTTTCCCACTCGCCATACCCACACAATTCTCCACAACAACTGATTTTTTTCCCCTGCTAAGCAGCGTTGCTGCTTCTTCTTGTTTACTACTGGTGGTTGGCTTTGGTAGCAGTACCGCCACCTTCTGCTCTGGAGTGTAAACGCTTCGCCTATGAGAAAAAGGAGCAGCGCATGAACCGAACGAAACACACGCGAACCGAACCGAGGCAGTCGAACCGAACGGTTCGGACGGTTTTCATAAACCGTTGCCCCCCTACCTCATATGTATCTGAGCCATCAGCTCATGCTCCTTCTCTGCGGTCTCTTGCTTTTATGCTCCTGTAGATTCTCTGCTTTTCGCCTGCAGACCCGTTTCTTTGAGGTTGAACCAACCATAGAAAGTAAACTGTCTTTTTAGAAAATCTCACCTCTTAAAATGGTAGAGAAATTATATTTAAATGCAAATCATTCTGGCTTAAACATGTATATAAATGTACTTTTTATCGGACCATATTGTCCCAACTTCTATTTAAAAAATAAAAATCCACTCTTAAAATCTATGCTTTTCTTCATTATCTTATACACCTAAATTCGGCCAATCATATCAACGGTCATCCTTAAATCAAATTTTTTCGGTCGTAGCATCTTGATTCATATGTCGCAGCTAATATACGCAAAGGTTAAAATAGGAAATTAGAATCATTTCTTTTCCCATTGAGTTCCGTCCCAGTGTTCACGGGTATGGACGTCTGTGTCTTCAGCAGGCGTAGAGCTAACAGAACTGGCAGCGTTGTGAGGCAAGGGCTCAAACATCTACGGCTGTAAGCCTTCTACACCAAACCAAGCTTCTGCCGCTCTGGCGTCCTCTTCCACAACATCTTCGTCCCCGCTTTCCTCCTCTAAATAAAAAATGGATGATGGAGGAGACTCATCCACGTCCTCCGACACTAAACTCTCCTCCTCTTGCATGTTTCCTCTGTCCATAGCGTTCCTTGACAGTGTCGTTTCTAAGTCACCAATTTAGAGCTACTTGGTCCCAATGGAATTTCCCGTTGGGGACCTATTAGCACTAAGTTGCTAACTGGTTAGCAAGATGCTTCCGACAAACCTTCCACCACAACAATCCCGCCCCCTTGATAAATGACCAATTTTAATGTCTGCCTTCCTGTTTCTCTGATCTCAGTTGATCCAGCCCTGCAGTGCCGGTCCTTCTGTAACCCAGTACCCTCCAACGGTGCTTTGTGGGGCGGCCCCATCCTCTCCCTACGTGGTCAGCCCGCCTCCTGGACCTTTGCTGCCTCTCCTGACTTTCAGGAGCAACACAGAAGCTGTGGCTTTGGGTAAACAAAAGTTGTGCCATTGAACCTGTAACAGGTGCTTGGCTTCCTGCATTGATTTTATTGTTGTTTTATTGAATTAATAAATTTTTTTAAACAAATTAGATCAATCTTGCTCTTTTTTTGTTCAGGGAACCACAGTCCTCACGGCCATGCAGCATCGATCTGGACTGAAGACCTGACACTGGCTCTGGAGACAGCTAAGAGGTCCGCATCAAAGCAGATTCTAGTTATGTTCCTGAAACGTACCGTTAACTGACCCACTGACTGACGTTTCCCCGCAGTCTGTCGGTGGGCTTGGTGTGGGTGAATTCCAGCTGCGTCTCCGATCCCTGCCTTCCAGTCTGCGGCCACAAAGACAGCGGCACCTGCACTGATGGGGGACAGGAGGTGGGTTTGGATCTTTGCTCTCCTCGCCATCGTTTGGTTTTAGAATAATTCAGCTGCACCTGGAGGTGAAATCAATTCATAATATTTATGTAAGAAGATATTCATACATGAAAATAAAGGTATTAAGTATTTTTTTATTAAAAAACACCTAAGAACCATATGTATAAGTTCCTGTAAAATAAAGCAGTGTAGTCTAAGGCTTCCTCCTGATAACGTTTACTTTACTTTTTTTTTTTTGCCTAAACTGGGTACGATCAGCAGACTTAAAGGGACAGTGTCGCGTTATCATGTTATATCATCTACTCGTAAAAAGCAATGCACAGAGTATTGCTTTGAGTTGTTAATGAGGAATCCTTTAAAGCAGAGGTCACAGATTAGCAGACCAGGGTCGGATCTGGACCCACCTGCTGGTTAATCCGGACCCAAGCTGATTTTAAAACATTTATAAATTACCACATGCTGTCTGACAACAGTGTCTAAACATCACTTGTGCTGTTTCTCCTGTTAACATCGTAAAGCCCTCCATGCGTCCGGGACCAGGCTGCAGGTGTTACAAATGATCAATTGAGCTGCTGTCAGTCTGGGTTGCTGCTGCTGCTACTTTTAGACACAGCAGGCAAACCTGTGGCAAGCCGGGCGATGAGAAAGAAGGAGCTCCGGGGCTGAGGGGGGCAGGGAGCCAGGGGGGGACGGCGCGACCGAACCCAACCCAATGACGGTAGCCTGGACACTGGGTCTACCTTACCATGCTTCCCCTTTGTAAGGCAGGCGGGGGGAAGCATACCGTCACCGCGTCTGGTTCGTCGCTCAGTTCAGTTCGATCTGGTCCAGTCAGCGGCGCAGCAGCGTGACAAAATTACCGGCCAAATAAGGCAACATCGCGAAATGACATCAATTCGGGGCTTTGTTTGGATTCTTACTTTTTATGATGGAGGTTTAGAATTGTGAGATTTGCATAGAAAGGAGGTGTGGATGGGGTTTGAATGGTAACTGGTAAATGGCATGTACTTACATAGCGCCCTTTTTCACTTGAGGAGACTTGACCAAAATGCTTTACACTACATTCATTCACCCATTCACACACACACTCACACACTGATGGTGGCAAGCTACATTGTAGCCACAGCTGCCCTGGGGCTCACTGACAGAGGCTGGGCTGCCGTACACTGGCGTCACCGAGCCCTCTGACCACCATCAGAGCTTCTCTGTACGTCCATTTCACCCACTGAACTATCGTTATTCTTCTATGACAATGGAAACTCAGTTTTGCATTCTGTGACCTCTATAAAAACATTTTTAAACTACTTTTTACCCACTGATCACAGCAAATATAGCAAAGCCGCTCTCTGCCATTGAACACAGGAGCAGCAGGAGCATCAGACGCATCTGGACACACTTTACTGGACGCGCTTCAGGAGCATCAAAGATGCACTTGACGCACATCTGACCTTAATGTGAACAACCATAAAAATGAAGCAGCAGAAGCTTTTTTGCTGCTTCCAGCGCCTGCGGTCTGAACGTAGCATTATTCATTAAAATAAGCCAAGCACCTCTCTTGATTTCCTCCGCCATTGTTACAGGCAAAGAAGGATAGGGTAGCTCCGCCCAACGCACATCAGACCCACTTTTAAACCTTGCAGCCAGAGCAGCAAAGATGCTTCAGCCGCGCGTCAGAACTAAACTTGTAGAAGCATAAAAAATGAAGCAGGATGTAGCGTTTTTGCTGCTCCTGCAGCTTGCAGTCTGAACGTAGCATAACTTTTTATATCTTTTGCTGAGGGAAGTCTCAATCTGTGGCCTTTTAACAGGTTTTTCTTCCAGGGTTTCTCTATTTTTATCTCCAACTATCTTCCAATTAACTCTTTTTATAAAACCCTCATTGATCTGATCAATGGTGAAGCTCCTAAAGCTTCATATTTACATCACTGATTTTATGCAGGGTCTCTATCAGTTTCTGCGACCTTCCTGGTCTCCTGTCCTTCCTCGCTCGTCTCCTGTTTCTATGGACTACTCAAAGTTTGGAACAGAACCAACCCAGGCTGTGATCCCAGACGACCACAGGTCGGTTTTTAATGCTCTCTGAGGTTTAGATTAAACAGGCTTCTAAATATCTGCTCATGCTGTATCTCTTCTTCTCTTTGTCATAGTATGCCTCAGTCCTTCCTGCAGTTTGTTGGCGGTAAAGCCTGTAAATCGGTGTCGGGCTGCAGTGTGGCTGTCCAGGCACCAGGGGGCGGTAATGTGTTGGGCTTTTGTCCTGATGGAGGCCGCAAAGATGTCCGGAACGCGGTGGAGGCTGCGATAAAAGCTCAGCCTGGGTGAGATTCACACATAGATGCACAAAAGCACTGCTGTAGAGAAAAATAAAAGAGGTGCTGCTTATTAGTGAAGGAATGAACAGTTTTTATTAGCAGCTGATGGAAAGAAAGTTAGAAAAATGTCTCTATTTAAAGAGTTCCCAGTCAATCAGACCAGATCTGTTTAATCAGATGCTACTGTCCTCTAAAGCGGAGGTCTTCAACAGGGGGTTCACAGAGGTACTGCAAACATTTTGGTTGATTGGACTTTTTTTTATACTTACCCTTGCAATTGTTTCCACTAATTGAAATGTCTTCAAATCCACATTAACATGAATTCAACACACTGTAGTAAACAGATAAATGGAGGCAGAAGATGTCTTTCAGTCATCAATTCACACATTCAGCGACACACAGGAGCTCTTTCAAGCTGGGCACCGTTTCATTCACAACACCTGTCCCATCAACCAGGAATCAGAAATACTTTAATAATCCCAGGGAGAAAATACTTTCGTTACATGACTATCTGTAATAGAGTGACTATAGGACCAGTTTGATAGAACTCAATTTTAATACAATGTATATAATTAGGGGGTCCTGGCTCCATCTCGCCATCAGTTTGGGGGTCCCTGGCCTGGAAAACATTGAAGACCTCTGGTCTAAAGCATTTATGGTGTAAAACTGCAGCACTGCAAAAACTATCTAAACGTAAGTGAAAATTTCTTTAAAAAAATACATTTAACCTTAATTTGAGTAAGTAAATAGACCACATTATCTCCACGCTCCCCCCATCAAACGACCCGTTCCAGTTTGCAAACCAGTCCAAGCGCAGTGTGGAGGATGCAGTCTCCACTGCTCTCCACCTGAGCCTGGAGCACCTGGAGGAGAAGAACACCCACGTCCGGATGCTGTTCCTGGACTTCAGCTCAGCATTCAACACCATCATCCCCCAGGACCTGGTAGGCAAACTGGGCCCCTTAGGAATAAACCCCTCCCCCCCTCTGCAACTGGCTGCTGGACTTCTTCACTGACAGAAACCAGGCTGTCAGAGTGGGGAACAACACCTCCGACGTCATTACCCTGAACATCGGCACCCCCCAGGGCTGTGTCCTGAGCCCCCTGCTGTGCGCCCTGATGACCCTCGACTGCCGTCCGCGCCTCAGGTCCAACCTCATCCTGAAGTAGGAAGATTACACCACAGTAGGGTGGGTGTCATCCGCAGGGAACAGCCTGATCCTGAACGTCAAAAAGACCAAAAAGATTTTCATCGACTTCAGGAAATCCAGACCCACCCACACACCCGTCAGCTGTGTAGGTCGTCAGCAGCATCAAGTTCCTGGGGGTGCACATCACTGACAACCTCAGCTGGTCACCCAACATCTCCTTCTTCTGCACGTCCTGCGTCGGATGAAGAGAGCATCCCTCCCGCCCCCCATCCTTCAGACCTTCTACAGAGGGACCATGGAGAGCCTGCTGACATCTCCATCTGGTCTGGGAGCTGCAGGGCCTCTGACTGGAAGTCTCTACTGAGGGTGGTGAGGACAGGGGAGAAGATCACGGGGGCGCCGCTCACCTGCATCAAGAACATCGCGGACAGGCGCTGCCTATCCTGGCTCACCAGATCCTCTCCGACCCCACCCACCCCAACCATGGACTGTTTTCCCCCCTGGCGTCCAGCAGAAAGTTCCGCAGCATCTTCTGCAGAATGACCAGAAAGACCAGACTACTGAACAGCTTCTTCCCCCTGGCCATCAGACTGTCCACAAACTAAAACCACCCCCCATGGAGATGGACAATACACGCACTTTAGTTTAGTTTTGTATTCAATTTATTGTTTCGTTTAGCAATAAGTCATTGCAATATTTATTGATGTTACTTCTTCAATAACTCAGTGCAATATATATGTATATATATACTTCTATACCCTGTATATAGCTAGCTCTTAGTTATAAACATAATATATTATATAATAACATAATTATTGTGCAGGAATAAGGTCTTAGCTCACTGGTAGCCAAGTAATCGACATTTCGTTGTCAAGATTCACCTTGTGTTTTTTTGTGCAATGACAATAAAGGAAGTCTAAGTCTAAATAAGAAGATCTCCTGATAGAATCAGTATTTTACTCTTAGAATAAGATAATCAGATAATATGCCTTTGAAATAAAACAATGCAATTAGTTATTTCTTATTCCATTGGAAAAGTGTCTCACTTTGCTGCTTAATTTAAGAAAAATTGCACTTTTTAAGAAATTGGATTGGATTAGATTTAAGTATTTTTCCATTAAAACAAACGGAAACATATTTAAAACTTAACATTTATTCATTTTCTATGGGCTTGAGGTCTGGAGGTTAGCTAGGCGGCTCCAGGACCCTGGAATGTTTTTAGGAGCCCCTTCTTTGTTACCTGAAGCCGGCCATAAACTGTGGTTCGACATACAGTGTGACTTCACAGCTCAGGATGTTTGTTCTCATACTTTGCGACCCGACGCTCTGATGCGATCTACTTGCTCACACTGTACGTCTGCGCGTTACATCAGTGCGTTTCACTCTTACGTAACGCCTTGGCAATTTGTGCAATTTTGTGCTGAAAGCCCTAAAAGGAGACAACGTATTTGGACATAGACATGGCTGAGCAAATGTGGCTACTAGGGTCTGTCAATTTTACTGAAAGAACTCCATTTCACTCGCACCTCTGCCATTCTTCTGTGTTTTCGTCTGAGACGAAGCAGAAGAAGAATCCTTGTTTGCCCACTGAACGATTTGCCAACCACGTTTGACTGAAAATCAAACATGTTTGATTTTCTCCAGACTTTACGATTCCTTGTCGTGAGAGGCTGATCACCCCTTGTTACCCCCCGTACACTACACGATACACGATCAGGCTGAAAGTCGGGCCGATCGAAAAATTCTCGCACGACTGGAAAGTCACCCCGAAAAGGGCAAAATAATCGCACAGTATAAGCCCGGTTTAAGCCGGAAGACTGCTGGAAGACCCGGTGTTCTGTCAGACCAGCATACCCCATCAGACCAGCATACCCTTAGTCAAAACGCATGAGCAAGCTGTCAGGTTTGCATTTATCCCTTTAGTTTTGTATGTAAAATAGACTTTAAACTACCTCGACGGGCGTGTATCCCTTTAGTCATGAACAAAAAAACAATTTAAGGTGCGATCGCCATATGCTTTAAGAAAACACCCAAAAAGTAAGTAATTAAATAGTTTTTTGTACATGACTAAAGGGATACACGCCCGTTGAGGTAGTTTAAAGTGTATTTTTTGGATAAAACTAAAGGGATAAACAGGCATTGACTCTGGGTCTGCTGGTCTGACTGGGTCTGTTCATCTGACAGAACATCGGCCATGTCTCATCTTCAATTCTCCCACTGATGAGAAGTTTGGGCTTAAAATCTCTTCGTTTCTGGCTCCATTTATTCTTCCCTTAACATGGATCAGTTGTCCTCTCCCTTTTGCAGAAAAACAGTCCCAAAGCATGATGTTTCCTCCCCCATGCTTCACAGTTGGTACGGTGTTCCCTGTGATAGAACTCAGCATTCTTCTTTCTCGTCACACGATGAGTTAATGTTCTATTATGGTTCCATCTGACAATGTGATGTTCTTCTGGATCAACCATTTGTTTTCTGGTAAGCTTCAGACGGGCCTGGACATGTGCTAGCTTTACCTGGGAGACACGCCTCACTCCCACGGCTGGTTTAATCTCACCAACCTGCCAGACTATTGTAGATCCAGCCTGTTGAAAGTCTAAAGTTTTCTTCTTCCACAGCTCTTTGGTGTCGGCCATGGGTTGAGTTTGGAGTCTGTTTGAGGCAGTGATCAGGTGTCTTTTATAGAGATAAGTTCAAACAGGTGGGATTAATACAGGTAAAGAGTGAAGGAAAGAAGAGCGTCCTAAAGAAGAGGTTACAAGTCTTATTTTCCACCATCATTTAAGAGATATATTCTTTATAGCTGAAGTCTGGCCTTGTAAAAATGACAGATCTCTCTGAGAAGGAGAGCTTCAGTAGCTGACTGACTAAATACTTTTTTCACTTGTAGTTAAAGTTTGGGAGGCAGAAACATTTTCAATTTACACTAAAATATGTTTTAAGCAATAGCTAGAGTTCATTAAAGGGATCTTTCCAAGTTCAGAGAAAAACCCTCATGTTTTTCTTCTTTTTGTCGTCCTTGTGACTCAACCAAAGGTCAATGTGATCCAGATAAGGCTGTTTTTGCCGAGTCATGCCGTCTCTGATCAAAGTGCAGATTAATCATCAACAGCTGGTAACAATATCGCCTTCAATCTTATTTACTTTTCCCCTTAAAAAACACAAACTGGAGCAGATTTTATGATAGAACAACACAGTTGGTTAAATGCTGAGCCCTGAGAAAGTTCTTCAGGGTTTTAAAGATTGTTTCACTACATTTTGAAAATGGTGGCGTTTTTTTATCAACCCTCTAAGTCGGAGATTTGGAATCAGGTTAGATTAGATTAGATGAGCTTTATTGATCTCACAGCGGAGAAATTCACTGGTCACATATTTGCACAGTAATTAAAGGTGCAAACAAGAAGGAAAAAGGTGCATTAAGAATAAACAATATATATACAGTAAATCAAGATAAATAAGGATTAAGGTGCAAGTGTACTTGTATCATAAAGTGTAGTAGGTAAGGAACAACGGTGAGGTAGTGGTATAGGGCTCGGGATCCGCGTTGCCTTGTGGGACGTGGCGGCCATATTGAGGGCTACGCGAACGTAAACATAGCTCTGATACAACGTTGTTGTTGAAAGAAGAGACGTAGAAGTAGAGAGAAAAAATATGTTAAAATCCCGAAAAGGATCTGGAATTTACCGGGACACATTTAATAGAGAAGCCAGGAACCGGTATGTTGACAAAATCAGCATATTTGGATCCATATGAAGTTCCAAACAATGAGTGGAGCACCGATGAGTGAGCGCCTATACTTCAAAACAGTTCCGAAGCTACAAGTCCTTGGAGTCTCATGTGAAGTTCATGAAAGGATGGGTTCAGGAGCTGCAGATCATAAAGCCAGCAAACAGTGGGAACTTAGTAATCCGTACGAAGGTAAGCTGTGCTCAGACGGGCTCTGGAATCTGCTAGTTTAGTAACTGCTAACCGCTAATGCTAACAACCACTCACGCATGTAATGTACTTTTAACTAGCTGCTATGTGTTTCAAAGGTGTAGTTGGTAACGTTAACTGCCAACCCTCCGGGTTTCTCACGTATTTGAGCCTTTTCCCGCTGCCGTTTTTATTATTTCCCCGTAAAAGATCTCAACTTTGAAGGAAAGAAACACTGTAGGCTATAAATAAAACCGTGCATCTTTAACTTACCAGAATGAAAATGCAGGGAACACACTCTCAATGACATTGGGATACTGTGGAAAGTTATGTTCGGCCGTCTTACAGCCGCAATCCAAGCTAGCCGACGACTCTTTATCTCTGACACTTGGTCTCCGTGGTTGCGCCTACAGGCAGGAAAGCGGTGTAAAGCTAACCCATTTTCTATGTTTTTCCCATGGCGATCATGTGTTGCGCTGTTACAGCCCATAATACAGCAACGGTTTACCATGGTTGAAATCAAGTTAAGGTGAAATAAATCAAATTAATCAGGCTGAGAGGGAGAACAGTACGCGGTAGTCATAGGCAGTAGTCTGAGCAGCGGTAAAAGAGGCCATCAAGATGGCGGCCACACAAAGTGCTTATGTCAAGCCCTTATAGGGTTTGGACGTCATTACTATTACATTCACATATATTGCACAGTCAGCATATTGCACAGTCAATAAATAAAAACTATAATATAGCTGCACAGTGATTTTTACAGGAGTTATTGTGGTTATAGTGCAGTATTATAGAGTCTGGTGGCAGCAGGAATGAATGACCTGCGGTAGCGCTCCTTCTTACAGACAGGGTTTCTAAGTCTTTGACTAAAGGAGCTGCTCAGCTCCTCTACAGTCTGGTGCAGGGGGTGAGAGGTGTTGTCCATGATGGACGTGAGTTTGGACAGCACCCTCCTCTAAGCCACTTCCTACCCTTAGTCCAGGTGCAGGTTTATTGGGTTTGTTTCTACCTGCTTTCAGCATCTAGAGACAGTTTTTATTGCCGTTTCCCTGCGAAAAAGATCAAACTACAGTGATTGATTCCAATGTTCAACTACTGCTTGGATTTTCCAGTCTAATCAAGACCTAAATCCAAGATTGAATGAATATTTGATTTAAGGATTTATGTGCAGGCTAAAATAAAAAGAATGCGCTGAATTTTCAAGCACAAGTCAATATATAGGAATACATTTAAGATTTGTTCCTTTTAAGATCCGTGACATCAGATCGTGTCAGAGTTTAGATGTTAGAATTGATCAAAATGCAATTAACTTGTTTTCCTTAGACAGAAAACTTTGAATCAATGACTGTATGATCTGGTTGAATTGTATCTATAAACTTCCTTGAGATGACATGTGTTGTGAATTGGTGCTATAGAAATTAAATAAACTGAATTTAATTAAAATAATACAACAATTCAGATCACAAATTTCCACTTTCAATTCACAAACTTATAGATGTGAATCAACAAGCTACGGATACAGATCACAAAGTTGCATTTTATTTTGTACAAAATACAAATTTTCACTTATAGAACACAAATTTAAATATTCAATGTATAAATTATCAAGTATGAAGTCCAAATTTGCGAGTAGGAATCAGATTTACAGATAAAAATCACAATTTCAAAAGTGTGAATGAAGAAGCCGTCATAAAGCCGTAACGCTTCGTACCAGTCGGTGGTGCTGATGTACCTGAAGGTTGTTTACTAACTGCTATTAAAGAAGATGAGATCTAAACAGAACCATCAATCAAACCTTTTATATTAGAAATGTAATCTTTGAGCACAGAGAGACGATGAATCAGAGAATTTAATTAATTTGCTAATTAGTGGACTGTTGAAGGGGATTTGTTGTATCCATACCAAAATAATAAACTAAATCATAAAAGTTTTCATTTTTCCCTTCAGCATCACTGTGTTTGTCCATGAAATAAAAAAAAAACAATATTTTTAGGGTTTTTTGTGTGGCTGTAATGGGAAAAAAATTAGGCAAAATTCAAAAGCTCTCCATTTTTCAGTATTTAAATCCACATTAGAAACGTTTTCATCCCACTGACCCATGTGTTAACATCAAAGCGTACTGATATTCGTCTTAACGTCTTTTTGCCCTTTAGCTGGATGAAGAAGAGTCCGTCTGCACGCGCTCAGTCCCTCTACTCTCTGGCCAAAGGCTTAGAATCCAAGAAGAAGGACGTTTCTGCGTCAGTCAGCACCCAGCTGGGCGTTTCAGTGGAGGAAGCTGATAAAGAGGTGGAGCTCAGCGTCGCCAGGCTCAACGTTTGGGCGGCTTACTGTGATAAACTTCAAGGTGGATCCCTGGTGAGGCGTTTAGAGGTTTAGGTCCAGCTGTAAAGCTCTTCAGAGAAACAAACAGGAGCCAGCAGCGTTGCACTCCTCTGCCTCACCACCTTCCTCTCTTCCACAGCCAATGCCGCAGTCCGGTGCGGCCCTTTCCTTCCCTGAAGCCCTGGGAGTCGTTGGGATCATCCTACCTGACAAATATCCCCTCCTCTCCATGGTAACGGTTCTAGGGGCAGCTATTGCCACTGGCAACGCTGTCGTCATGGTTCCCAGTCAAAGGTTTCCACTCCCCGCCTTGGCTTTCATTCAGGTAAAGGAGGAACTAATTGGACTTTAGCAGCTGTGATAGAAAACTAACCCACACCACCATCACCACCCCGCTCTGCTCATTTCAATCAGCTCATCTATTATGTTCTTTGTACTTATATACTATAATTACACTCTGTCTTAATATGGATTTTTGTTTTTGGAGAGCAAATCTTCAAAGAAGGTGCAAATTAATTTGCTTTTGCAGTCCAGCAGACAGTGTCTGCAAACAGTTTTATGCATCAACATGCAGATCTTATTCTAATGACCAAACTTCATGGGTTTTTCATGGGTGGAGGACATGCAAACATGAACATTTACCATTTTCAAACTGATTTTCTAAATCTGAAACTCAACTGCAGTCGTGGTTTTTGCATTTTTCTATTTAAAACTCTTTTGAAAGTGAGACACACACTGATTAGCAAAAATATCTGCAGTATTTATTGTCCAAAAAGAGGCATTGGTACAGAGAGAGGGAATGGAAACAGAAATAACAGTAAAATAATGTTTAAGAAAAGACGTCTCTGCAGGTGGAACGAGAGGTGTAAATCACACCCATCATGGCGATTCGATTCAGTATCGATTTCCTGACCCAACGATTACTCAAGAAAACACCACGATTCGATTCGATTAATTGGTTCAATTTTTTTCCCCTTACAGGCTAGACAATGTTTCAAATTTGAAATAAATCAATGAAAGCTGTAATATCGTTATGCATTTTATTTGAGAAACAACAGCAAATAACAGAAGTAGGAAAGTTTTACTCCACCTATTCCTACTAAAACCTACAAAAAAAGATTCTGAAAGGCTTTGCATTAAAAATACTGCACAAAATCAGTGCAATTCAATACCTCGGCTCCAGACGTCCCCGCCCCCTCCACAGACGCTCCGCTGCTCCTCTCCCAAATTGTAGCTGACCGCACACAGTGCCGCAGACAGGAGGCCGGCTTTTTTTGTTTTTATGACCGAAATTGCGGAAAACAACTTGTGAAGTTTGACACGCTAGAAGAGCGAGTTGCGCCAGAACGCTGGGACCCTGGATCTCCGCTCTTTTTCACCCCCATGTCCATCTGTTGTCGGACTAAACTCGTATCTAGACCCACAGCTAGCTCCTGATTGGCCCTCTGGCGTCGTGGCGTGGAATAACATAGCGCAGACCACGCTTCAATATTGAGCATAAATCAAAAATTTCTGTGTCAAGCTAACTGCAACACACTGCTGCAGGAGTATAACCAGGAAGCGAGGTAGGAGGGCAAAATAGGTTTAGCGCCACCGCAGCACGGGAGGAGAATTATGCCCAGGAGAAAATGGATAAAAATAGACCGGAGGAGGAAAAAAAAAAAAAAAACATGAATCGATACTCTTGCGGACGTGTCGATGCATCGAACTGTCAACTGTTAGATCAATGCATCAATACAAAACGATTTTTATTTACACCCCTAGATGGAACTAATCAATGCTGCAGGATGGCAAAAAAATATTGAAATTAAATATGATGGCACATTCATTATTGAAAACTAGAATCAAAAATAAAATTTATGAAATGCTGAATATATATTAATAAAAGTCAAATAACATGGATATCTCCAGTTAAGTTAAAAAATAAGGATTTGCACAATATATTGACATAAATATCGGTATTGGCCGATTATTATTATTATTATTTCCCTTTGATAAGTAAAATGGGATGAAATGGACCCAGAAGTTCTCATCTTTGTTTCATAACCTTCAAGATCTGACCTTAGAAGCACTTTTCCTGAGTTGATGAACTTTAAATGAGTCGTTTCTTTGTTCTTCCTCCTCGCCAGGTTCTCCAGTCCTCAGACCTGCTGGCAGGTCTGGTAAACATCATCACAGGTAATCCGGAGCTGCTCACAGTGGCTCTGGCCAATCACAGCGTCATCAAGGCGATCTGGTACTGGGGCAGTGCAGAGGTGAGGACAATGCAATGCACTTGATGATGATTAGAAGATAAGATTTAATCTGAGGTTTCACTGTCCTGTGTGTTTTTAGGGCTGCCAGTACCTCCAGTACAGCTGCACCAGCCCGCTGAAAACGCTGCGGCTCTTCTGCCAGAAGGACGGGGAGGCGAGCGATGCTGGAGCGGACTGGACTCGGACTGATGCTTCTCTGCTGGAGGACCTGTGGAGAAACGCGGTTCAGTGGAAAAGTGTTTGGATTCCTTCTGCCTGAGAAGTTTAAACGTACAAATAAGTCCTTCTAAAGATAACAAACATATGTAAGATGAAGATGAGGAATCAAAAGTCATGCAATATTCTGAAGGTTTATTATTATTAACAGCAATGCTTAACATGATTTTTTTTTGCCATCTGTCCAAATGCACCAGATTAGAGGATCAGTATTTTATTTTTAATTCACTAACATATTTTTCTACTGTGATTAAATCAAACAGGCTGTAATTCTTCAGTCTGTCAAAGTAAAGAAGCGTGAACAGAACAATCCTGGTATGTGTTATGTGAGACTTTTCTCTCATAGTGTTGAATAAGTTCCTGTTTCAGTGTTGCATCCATACTGGATCACTTCCACATCGGTTCTGATGGGTTCTCAGAACCCGTTAAAAAAATCCAACATTTTCTCAGCAAGACGTCGTTCTTTAAGTTTTTGGTCTCAGTTCATCGCTTTAGTTAACTTCAACTTCTAATCAGTACCTTGCAAAATATGTAGACCCTCGGATTTTATTTATTATTTTTTTCACTTTGCAAACCGAAGCATCTGGAACTTTGGTGACAGATTAAAACTAGAAAAAGCTGTTTCGGAGAAACAGCAAGTAGGAATGCTTTTGCTGAATGAAAAAAGCTGAAATTACCTGAAGAACATATGAAAATGTGATAGGAAGTCATCAGAAACTTCAAACTGCAGAAAACAATTGAATCATCTGAAGATTTTGTAGGGTAGAATCATTTGGCAGTAAAATGGCAGAAACAAACTCATCTTAAAAGCTGCACAGCCAAACCATACATGATATCAAAAAATGTCTTGAATGTGGGCACTAGAAGGGTCTTAATATAATGTCTCCCAAGTTTCTAGAAAAATGTATAAAGAAATTTTGAAGGGGGGTTTACCTATTTTCCAGAAACATGTCAGGCGTGTTATGAATTAGCAGCAAACAGAAAAGCTTAATTCCTGTCCAGAAACAGAGCAGAATGAAGCCAAAGTTCACAACATAGGCTGAAAAGTATGAAATTAGCTGAAGTAGAAAGAAATTACAAAGAAAAGCTTTAATCTTATCTGGTTGAAGAAAAAATTAGTAGCTTAAGGATGGGGAGTAAAATGTTGAGGACGATGGTATTGAATAAGTATTAACATTTTGAAATCATATGTGGAAATGTCAAGACTTGGCAAAACAATTGGAAAATTATTTAAAATGTGTCGGTTGATCAGCACAAAGAAAACAGTGTCATCCTTAGAGGATTGAAAATCTACAAACCTATGTGCAAGACTGGCCATGAGAAGCAGAGGAAGGACAGAGAGAGAAGCTTATAGAAAGAGAGCTAATACCACTTAAGGAGCTGAATTTATAAAAAAATTGAACCTGCATGTTACGAGCCGCTGTGGTAATGAAAGCACCGTTGGCAGGCTTAGGCTGCATGTTACAAGGTTAGCAGATGCTTTATTACAGTATAAATCTTAGAACCTGATTAAGAAATATGCACTGAGGTGTGTGGTCCACAGGCCTTGGTAGTGTAATTTGAAGAAATTGGTTGACTTTGGGTCATAGCTACAAGCCATACGGCACAATGAATGAGTGTGCGTAAGGAAGAGGCTTTTATTTTGTAGGTTCCCTTTAGTCTTATTTTGAAAGTCTATCATGGATGTGTGTCAAGGGAAGGGTCATGCCCAGCAGTGATATAGAATCCATTTCCAAATATGAAATCACTGGTTTTCCATGTTATTGGGTGAATAGATGCTGTATTAGAGCGTAAATGGGAGACTTTTATTGTGAAATTTGCTCTGGGGTATGTTTTGAAAAGGTCCCTAGAGTCTAATAGAAACAAGCTGGTAGAGTTTGGGTCATAATGCTGAGCCATCTGCGTCAATTAATAGGAGAGTATAATAGAGGCTTTTATTTTGTAGGGTCACTGGAGTCTTATTTTGAAAGTCTAGCAGGGTTGTGTGTTGAGAAAAGGGTCAGACCCAGCAGTGATACTTGATGACTTTCCAATCGTTAAATTACTCTTTTCCCTTGTTATTAGGGCAGTAGATAAAGTGGCAATGTGAGGCTTTTATTTTGAAATTTTCCATGGGGTGTGTTTTGAAAACCCCCTAGAGTCTAATTTTTAAAAAAGTGGTTGAGTTTGGGTCATAATGTTGAGCCATATGCTGGGGAAAAAAATATGAGTTTAATTTAGGGGCTTTTATTTTGAAGGGTCCCCGGAGTCTTATTTTGAAAGTCTATCAGGGTTGCGTGTGAAGGGAAGGGTCATGGCCAGTAGTCATATTGTATCCACTTCCTAATGTTAAATCAGTGTTGTCTCCCTCCATTAGATTAAAATGTGCTGTTTAAAGTGGTGGAGGTAAAATCTCTTTGAAGCACGGTTACCTTGACAACGTTAACGAGCCTGTCAGTGACAGAGAGACATGCGCTTCACTTTCATTCCTTTCCTCTCAGGCTTTTTTGAATGGGAATAGCAGCTCCGAACAAACGAGTGCTGAAGACAAACCGTAAATGGTATCTAAAAAATTCTTTCAGTCTAAGCGAGAGCTATCCTTTGTCTCCAATTGGGGTAACTTTCATGGATGTAGCTCATTCGCAGCCTTAATGGGAAGGAGGAATATAAAGGTTTATAAATCCTGCTGGTCTCATTGAATAACATGCAGCACAATGGTAGAGCAGAACTCTCAAAAGCAAAACTTTCCCTCCGAACAAATGAGCGGTGAGCCAAAACCGTATTAGGCATTCAAAAAATTCTTTCACCGTGAGCGTCAGCCATCTTTGGACTACAACTGGTGTAACTTTCATATTTCTACAATATTTGGTCTAGGCGTGGTGACGATGTAAAAAAGTGTATAATTGTCAAAATCTTGATTTTGGGGTTCGGACAGATTTGTTACCCCCGAACAAACCTTGTTCCTAGCTAAACGATAAAAGATATCGACACACTTCCTTCAATGTGAGTGCTAGGAAGGAATGAGGAACAACTTCCACAAGGCTCATGTTGCTACGTCGAACGGTTCCCGAATGGGAGCGATACGAAAAAGTCTGTTTTTTTTTTATTTTCAGTTCGGATTTTCAGAGAGCTCTCATTGGATTTCTATTGGGGAAGTGTGGACTTCTTCGTGGTCTGGGCCAAACTGTCGGAAAACCGTAAATGCCACACAAATGAGAGTTACATTTCCTGAATCCTGACAAAAATCCCTACGTTTTGATGTAAAATTTATCTAGATAGAGTAAAAAATGAGCGAGTGAGTTGAAGCTGTTCGGCATGAGTGAAATGTTTGAAAACGCTAGAGTGGCACACTCTAGCAGCTGAACATTCCGTCCATAGACTTCCATTATAAATTTGAAAATCTGTAAAAATTGTTTAAAAGTTTGAAGCTTCACTGAAGCAAAACTGTAAAAGTTAGCTGAAAGCCGAGTTAAACAGTAATAGCAGAAAGATACGGAAGCATTTTAAAAGTTGAATGGTGTTTCTAGCTGAAAGTATGCTGAAGTAGTTAAAGGGCAAAGTAGCTGAAGATTTAGTGGAATTTTTGAAGTTTTACATGCATTTCAATGGGGCCAAAAATCGCAGAAAAAGCTGAATATCGCAAAAACTACGAACAATATCTTTACCAAAAGTCATAGCATAACTCTCCTGAACAAACTGAACGTTTTGATACCAAATTTGTTTAAATCAGCTGAAAACTGTTGAACTAGTTAAACGAAGAAAAACCTACGGAATAATAATAAATAAAAACAATAAGTGGGAATGCATAAGCATTCCCACTTGATAAAGTGGAGCGATGAAATAAATTGAATGGAAAAGCTAAACTGTTTTCACTAGTTTTACTTTGGTGCACAGATTTATTGTTCGGCTGGTTGAACTGCCTTGATTTTCTTTCATTTTGGATTTCTGATCGGACAATACTTAACCGCCTGTCTTAATAATAGGTCTGTCTTAATAATAGAATTTTGTTCCATTGTTTTAAGCAAAGAAAACATTTAGTGAAAAAAAAAAAACCCTTTTAATAATAAATAGGTTTACGGAGTTGCTGTCCTGCTTTTTCAGACTTTGTTTAATTTTTTTCAAATTGTTTTTCTTTTCTTTTTTTAACAGATTTTTTGTTTTCTGATAAAATTTTATGGATGTCACCCTTTTGAAATTGTGTTTTCCAGATCAGTTTGCCTCTGAGGAGCAAAGTCCCATTTTTATTGGCCAGGAGGGAACTTTAGTATTACAGTAGGCTTGAAGGGAAACAAGTGTGATCTGGGAAACAGTGCGAGAATAATGCTATTAAACAGCGTAAAATAAAAACTAAAAATGTGAAATAGAATCCAACATATAGAAAATAAAAAGAAATAAATACCTTTTTTTATTTTATTTTTTATATGGAATGGTATAGATCAGGCATCCCCAAACTCGGTCCTCAAGGTCCCCTGTCCTGCTGGTTTTAGAGGTTTCTCTGCTTCCGCACAGCTGGTTATAATGATTGCAGTAGACCACAAGCCTGTTAATCAGCTTTCAATTAAAATCAGCTGTGCTGGAGCAAGGAAACCTCTAAAACCTGCAGGACAGGAGGCCTCGAGGACCGAGTTAGGGGATGCCTGGAGATCATATCTACTTCTGCAAGGGCTGAAAATAAGCCACTGGGATTTTAAAGTTGTATCTTTGTTCTGGGCTTTAATCAAACAGACTTTAATTAGCAGGAAACAAGTTTGTCCTGTTTCTAATATGCTTGTTGCAGACTGTAAACTTTACTCATTATGGTTTCTTCCGCTAATCTAACCATCTAGTTTGAGTATTTTTACTCTTTTCTTCCAAATGAACTGTTTTGCATGAAGGCAGAAAGGCAGTAAAAGTCAATCTTAGTCTCACACAGGTAAAATCTGTTAACAAATTAGGTTACTTTGTTGTTTTTCTTTTCACTTCACAAGAATATTGCTTTACATTTGTCCTTCATATTAAAAACCCATTTAAATGTGTGTTTATTATGTAAAGAAAAAATAGCTTCAGTTCCTTTTAAAGTGGTTCTGATGTTTCAAACTGTTTTTATTGGACTTTCCTCCCTGTTACATGTCAGAAGTCTGAGGGTCTAAACGGTTAAAGTGTTATTATGGGCTTCAAAATGACTTGCAGTGTTGATGTAAATGACTGAGCTCAGTCTTTAAATGAGACTCTGCGGTAAAAACAATTATATCTTTGTGCATCTGTGACCAAGTATAACGAGGCCTG